GAGCAACATTGCCATACCCACCAAGCATGCCAGGTTTTCAGAGGGATATCTTGGGGTCTCCTGTTTCATTAGGGAACTTTCCAGGCATCTGAAGAAGTGGGCCACAGCCCATACAAGCTTATGCCAAAAAATCAGTTGTGCATCTTTAAGATCCTTTGTTGAATTCCATCAGGAATTCAGTAGTCAATTGGCAACATCCAGGCCGGGGAGAGAGGTATCAATATGTTTGGAAGAAATGCAAGGTCTCTGGTCCAAAACATCTTATCAGAGAATCTAGATCAATGGTTCTTACCTTTTGACCCTTCAGAGAGCAGTGGCTAGTGACTCCAATATTAACGGGCAGTGAATCTTCTCCAGATTTTAGCCTGAACTTTACAGGAGCTATCTAAGCTGCTAAAACCTGTATCTTGAAATAGGTCCAGCACTCTGGATCGCTCCTTTGACATTCAGAATAACCCCCTCTGTCCCATAGATTTTCCATCTCATGACACCAGCTGCCACTGCCTCCAGATGTTTTAGATTTCTGTTCCGAGAAACCCTGATGGTTGGGTCAGGAAAGCTGAAGACTCTGGGATTGGAAGATGAATTATTTCAAAGCCCTGAATAAGTCATCATTTGGTGGTGGAAAGCCAAGAGGAATAGTGTTCAGTAAATCTCTCTGCGAATGCTGTTTCATAACAATTGAGGTGCCACTATAGAAATGTTCTATAGGGTAACATGACCCCCCCCATCTGCCAGTATTTTGTACCTGAATCTAAGGAGGTGGAGCTTCAGTTCTAATAAAGCACAAAGTCGGTTCCTCCAGCTGGAAATCTGTTCACCTAAAAAACCCAAAACAAACTCTATTCAGTATGGAGAAACACCGAGAGATTCATTTTTATAATTTATTCCTATAATTGTAAGACTTAAAATTATAGGAACAAATTATAAAAAAGGAGAAGAGGACAGGCAGATTCAATTCTAGGTTTGTTTGTTTTTGTAATATTGCCCCCCCAAACAATTTTAACAATACATTCCAAAATCTTATGGACAAAACAAATTATCTCTATCTGGACAAGCATTCACAGAGGCAAAATATCTCTTACATAAACAAAACAGGGTGTCACATCAACATCTAGCCTTTGAAAAGAAAAAAATTCAGTTTCATATGATTTGCATGATTCTAAGTCTTTCTTTGCAAAGAAAATGAAGGGATACCACAAGAAGGTACCTTTTTTGCACTCCCTTTTTGTTGCCCTCATTTTATATGTCAATTTCTCTGATTATATGATGGACAAAAAAACCTGTGGAGCCAGCTACATACATCAACATCTTCCATGCATTCCCATGTCTAGCTATATTGAGACATGCAATGTTTCGTAGGAGTTGGGTTGAGTCTTTATAGAGCAGTTTTTTTTAATTATTGCTGAAAAAGATGCGAGGACAGTAACTGTTGTGCTTTGAATTCAGAAAGGCGCCATGGTCTCGGCATTGTAGTATTGTGCAGATGAGTCTATGTGGCTGCTCCAGACGTGCCTAGTTCATGTCTTTTAAAGTTTTGAGCAGCTTGTCCACAGAAGGATTAAGCATGTCAATGGTTTTGGAATCGATCTGAATCATCTGCTTTTTCCCAGCACCAGAACGCAAACCACATTCCAAGGAGCTATCCTTTAATCATGTTCATATTGTCCAATGAAATTCAAATCCCGAGTCCAGAGATGCTGGATTCCGTAAAAACTCCTGGAAGCTCATAAATTAAGCAGGCGAATAAACGACCCTCCAAGCTTGAAATGGCCTCTGCAGACTTAATGGGGCTTGCGTTGTGTCTAAGGAAGGGGCGTCGGCTGAAGGAGTAGTAAATCTGTCCACCTGAAATGGGGATACCATACCAGGCTGGTGTTGCATGACCGGTCTTTGAAGCTGCTAGGTCATTCAGACAATTGGCAGGTCCTGCAGTAGCAAAGGGAGGCGGGGGGGGGGCTTAATGTCTGGTCTTTCCAAAGCTGTTTCAGCCACCTATGGGCAGATGAAAAAAAGGGCCCCTCCACCTTTTGAGCAGATGCAAGCAGAGTTTCGGTGTGTGGAGAGAAGATTTACTATATGTTCCATTTAGATATAAAAGTTGGTTTCCTTCATTTTGGCAAGATTGACTATGCTGAGCTTCCAGAAACTGGCTGGAAAAAAAGTTGGTTTGGTAACTAAAGGCTTATGGATTATTATTTTTTTCTCAAGGGGGACACACACAAGGAAGTGGAACGAATAAGCTCAGTGTGTTTCTCAAAGGGCCTATGCTTTTGCGTATAAGACACTTATGATTAGAACTGTAGAAAAGTGTGAGGATGTTGAGAACGCATGGGAAACCAGTAAGTAAAATGTGTGTGGAGTTCACCATACACGATCAGGCCCTCCTTTCTCTTCCCTCATCATTAGGTTGGCAGAGTGGTGTTGACCTTGGCTGTCAAGCCCACAGCTGTGCTCCCTGTCACCCTGCCCACATCTCTTTCAAGCGGCTTCATATTTCAGAGGTTTCTAATATGTTCCTTAGACAGTGTTTTTCCTGGACCTCCCTCAGTCTGCCTCGGCCAGGTTGGATCTCTTTTCTTACGTATTTGATTGAGCCAGCTCCTGTGGTCAATAATAAAGATTGCACTGGACTTGTATGTGGGATACCTAGGTGAAAAACCTAGTTAAGTCCTCGGCACTGTGACTGGCTTTTGTTAAGTCACCAGTCTCCCAGATTACAGCGGTAAAAATATTAATAATGACCTACCTTGCCCAATTATTGTGCTGAATAACACATATTACAAGTAGTGGGGAATCCTATATCCATTTTTTTGGTTTATCTGAATAATTATAACCTGCCCGATTTTGACAGAGCTCAGGGTAAGGCACAACAAAAAAAATCACACTAAAATAATGTAAAGCCTGTTAAAAGACATTAAAACAACTTACAAATTCAAAGAAAACAAAACACAGAAAACGGTAAGATTGGAGGACATGCTATGATCTCCTGTTAAAAGACATTAAAACAACTTACAAAGTCAAAGAAAACAAAACACAGAAAATGGTAAGATTGGAGTGTGGGTACCAACAGTTGAGCGAATAGCCAAATTTTAACTTGATGCCAGTCTAGCCTCTGAGCAGAAGGCATCCCATTTCTGGGGTGCCACCACTGAGAAAGCCTTCTGCGTTATCTCCACTTTGTTTACTGCTCTCAGTCTTGTGATGTGCAGGAGAGGGCCACCCATCAGATCTTAAGGACCAGGCAGGTACTGTATATATGCAGCAGGAGGGGCACCCCCAAAACCCATCAGATCTTAAGGACCAGGCAGGTATATATGCAGCAGGAGAGGCATCCCCAAAATACCTACACCCCAAGTCATTTAGGGATTTGAAAGTCATGGTTAACACCTTGAACTCAGGTTGAAAGCATAGCAGCAACCAGTATAACTTATTTAGGACCCATGTCCTACAGGTTCTGTAAGCTGTTCCTCCCTGCAGTCTACACTTTGCACACTGCACTCATTGCATAATCTGTGCCACCCTCAAGGGCAGCCCCACACAGAGTACATTGCAGTAGTCTAGTAAATAGGAAGTTACCAGTGCGTGCATGAAGAACTGCGGCCATCCTTATTATTCCAGTTCTGTCTTCCTTCAGGATATTATGAGGTGTTAGAATCGAAGCTTGACAACTCTAGCTCTCCATTTTTAATTTAATCTTGTTTCATTTTATTTTTGCCTCCCACCTCCATCAATCCTGTCCAGGATAGTGGGGCACTGTAGTGCACCTACAGCCAGAGGTGTGACACCTAGCTGCTCCAAGTAAGGTGCTGGCGCATAGTTTCTCGGAAACCATCGGCCGCTACCTAAGCCTTGCTGGCCCACACGAATGGGGAAAATCCTCACCCCACCCCGGTACCCTTGCCACTACTTTTAACGGGAAGGAATTTAATTGTGAGATGGGAACATTTTCCAGCCCTTTTTTGCAGAGACGGTGGGGCCAATAAAGGGACTTAGGATCCTAGATCCACCCACCTTGTACCACTCAACCACTACAGGATGAGGGCAGCTACAAGTAGGAAAAAAAGGGTCATCATTGGCCAAGGTGATCTGTGTGGTGGATTCCCAGCCCAAAGGAGGAGGCTGGGGCGCAGGAGCCCAGAAATCGTTGCACTCAATGGGCTGCAACCAGGGGGACATGAAGGGGTGGGGGTGACCCCCCCTCCAGCATAGACCGCAGGAGGCTGGTCCGTGTACCCCTAAGTGACTAGCTCTGGGCCACTTGTAGCCAACTAAGGTTTTACAGCAACTCCTCTCAGCCTTAGCCAGCAGAGCCCACGAGTGGGGAGAATGGGAATTGGAGTCCAACACCATCTCATTTCCCCAAGGTGAAAGCAAGGGCAAGAGGCTTCCCTCATATAGTTGTGGCAAGAATTTCCACCAGAAACTCAAGCTTGGGCAATGGCAAGGGATCATGGGAACTGTAGTCCCCAGCCAAATATCCTCCACCCCCTGCCTTGAAGGACAACCAAGCCGGGCGGCTTCTGTTGCCCTTAGCAACGCAAAGGGCGGGGAGGGACCTCCTCAGTGATTTTGTGAAGGGTATGTCAGCCACATAAATGCAATAAATAAATAAATAAAATATAGTTGTGGCAAGAATTTCCACCAGGACCTCAAGCTTGGGCAATGGCAAGGGATGATGGGAACTGTAGTCCCCAGCCAACTATCCTCCACCCCCTGCCTTGAAGGACAACCAAGCCGGGCGGCTTCTGTTGCCCTTAGCAACGCAAAGGGCGGGGAGGGACCTCCTCAGTGTTTTTTTCCCCCTCAACGGCGTCCTCGTGACAGTTTTGAAGACGCCTGTGTTTCCGCCTCTTCCTCTGATTGGCCCGCGGCTCCCAGCCAATGAGAGGCGTCCTCCCGCCCCCCTCGCTCTTGCCTTTCCCTTCTCTGACATGGCGGACGCGGCTTCTTCCTCCCCCCCGCCTTCTCGCGAGATTTCCCGCCTCACCGTGGGCCGGGTGGGGGCAGGATCTCCTCGTGAGGAGAGGACGAGAAGTCACCTGGGGAGGAGGAGGAGGAGGAGGGAGTCGCCGCCGCCACGACGGAGGCCATGACCGGGTTTCGGGGACTTCTGAGGGCCCAGCGCCAAGCTCGGCGAGTGGTGAGTGTGGGCAGAGGCCTGGCAAATGCCCCTCCCGTTGTCTTGGCAACCGGAGAGAGGGCGGGGCTGGCCGCGCGCCCTGCAGAGTAGGCCGGCTGCGCTCCCACTGGGACAAAGGTCATGCAGTTCCTCTCCCTTCACCCTTCCTTTCCTTGGTTTCTATGGGCTATGAGATATATATTATAATATTATATTCCTGTCGCTTCTTTCCCGGAGCTGAAGGGATCCACTGTGGCTCCCTCTGCCCCCCCCCCCCCCACAGTTTAATCCGAGGGCGGGGCTGGCCGCGCGCCCTGCAGAGTAGGCCGGCTGCGCTCCCACTGGGACAAAGGTCATGCAGCTCCCTCTCCCTTCACCCTTCCTTTCATTGGTTTCTATGGGCTACGAGATATATATTATATTATTATATTCCTGTCGCCTCTTTCCCGGAGCTGAAGGGAGGCTCCCTCTGCCTCCCCCCTCACACACAGTTTAATCCTCACAACAACCCTGTGGAGGAGGCCAGGGAGAGAGAGGGAAGCTTGAAGCCGGAGGCCCTGCTTTCAGGCCCAGCCTTCTCACCATTAGGCCACGCTGCCTTTCCAGAGGCGAGAGGAGGGAAGAGTTTTAAGGGGCTACCCCACTTCCCAGGGCAGGGAGGGGAAGGAGACCTGGTCTTTTCCAGGCTTTGTGGGGCTCCCCCAGCCTTTCTTTCCCCCCCACCAGAGCCCTCCTGGGCCATGAGTTCCTGGAAAAAAACACCCTCCCAATATGTCCCTCCTGCTGGCTTCACGAGGCCTGCAAGAGGGCACAGGAGGGATGGCTCTCCCTCTTGCACAACCTTGTTTCCAGAATTAGGGTTGTTGTATTTACGACCCTGCCTTTCCAACATCCTAAGGGGACGTAAGGGAGGGGGACTGTCCCAAGGTCACTTGACTTAGCTTCCTTGGTCATGTGGAGATTTGAAGCTGAATTAAGGTTGAGATTTTTTTTTAAAACAGAGAGGTTGAGAATTCAGTTCTCCGCGGTGCCTCCCATGAGTAGAGAGCCAGCTTTTATGGCTTTGGGCAGGCAGCGTAATTCCGGAGCATTCCTCAGAAAAAGAGAATCGGAAACTACTTCTGAGTATTCCCTACCTGGGAAACCCTGAAAAAGGTGAGCCATGGGTCAGAATTGACTTGTCAGGACATGAGGAGGAGGAAGATGCTCCAGCTCTAGACAGTGACCTTGTGTTTGTCAATTTTCCGTTGCTCTCCTATTTATTTCATTGCATTTCTGCGTTGTTTTTCCTCCCAAATGGATTCCCAAGTAATTTAAGAACAGATACAGCTAAAAACACAATAGATAATAATAAACACAATAACATATAGAATATAAAATGTCACTAATTAAAAACAATTAAAACAATAACATGGCAACTTCCTTTGTTAAACTCCCCCCGCCACATTTCAAATGTTGCCAAATCACGCTAGAAAGAAAAATCTTTGCCAGCTGGTGAAAAGGCAACGAGGTGTGGGTCTATGGGAAGGTGTTCTCTAAAACCTGGAAGCATCCTGTAAAAGGGCTCTCTCTCACACCCTCACCAAATGCACTTTTGAAGGTGACCCTATTTCGAGAAAAGGAAGATGTTAAAAAAAGGCAGGGAGACTCAGACTAGGCACTTGCACCATTTCTTACCAGTGAGGACTGGAATCAATGGCTGGGGATCCTACTGATGTTTGCATAAGGTTTGTATAACTTGCTGTAGCTAATTGTACCTAATTCACAAAGTGCCAGGGCCCATCTTGGTTGTATAATGGGATGTGTGGACAGACCCTCAGTTAAGAGCCTGGCACCTCATCAGCTAACCATGAGATGTTATGCAAACCTTATACAAACACCAGTGGGCTTCTGTCCATTGGTACACATCTGGTTTATCGGGTTGAGATCAAAGGATGTGCAAATAGGATTTTCCCAAGTCCGGTGAACATAAGGACAATCTGTGCTATATTTGATTTGTCAGCCAGTGCCTAGAATTTTATGCAGTTGCACAAATGGTGGTTCCCAAATGCTGTCTTGGTAGCTTGCAGTTTAGTTCTGGAACACTAAACGTTTTTGATTCTAGTAGAGTAATTCTTAAGGGCTACACAGTATTTGCATCTTATTAATGTAGCTACAACTACTAGGATTATAAGAAGCTACCATATATGGAGAAATCAGCCATCCATCTACTGTAGCTCTGTATTGTATATGCAGAGTAGCAGTGGCCCTCTGTGTTTTTAGACTGGATTCTTTCCCTATCCTATTTGGAAGCAACAAGGATTGATGCTGGCATCTTTTTCATACAAAGCCTGTGCTTTACCTCTCGGCTGGAGCCCTTCCCTGAAACCTGGAAGTCCAGTAGTCCTGCTGTACAAAATTTGCAAAGCTAGAGCGAAAAAACACTCTGTCTGTAGTAATTATTGCAGCAGAGACTTTGATGGCACGTGTGAAACTCCAGCAACAGCTATGATGGATGTAACGCTTTGTTTTGTTGGGTGACCTGTTACAGTTTCTATTAGCTTTGAAGATACCACAAAACGCTGTTTTTCTGCAACAGATGAATTTGATTACCCAGCATGGTTACATGGTTTCACTAACAGTCGATTGTTGTTGCTGTTGTTTTCATTACTATTTGTATACCACTGAGGGCGGTGTACATAAATGTGCTTTAACTCACAGTATCCTTGAAATAAATCTTTGTGGTAAATTAGACTGAGGTGGAGTGGTGGGACGTGGTAGCGGTGTGGGCTAAACTGCAGTTAAACTGCAGAAGCCTCTGTGCTGCAAGGTCAGAAGACCAGCAGACATAAGATCGAATCCACTCGACGGAGGGAGCTCCCGTCGCTTGTCCCAGCTCCTGCCAACCTAGCCGTTCGAAAGCATGTAAATGCGAGTAGGTAGGTAACGCCGTTCTGTGCATAAGTTGCGCTGGCCACGTGACCACGGAAACTGTCTATGGACAAATGCTGGCTCTATGGCTTGGAGACGGGGGTGAGCACCGTGCCCTAGAGTCAGACACGACTGGACAAATTGTCAAGGGGAACCTTTACTTTTACCAAGGAGTGATGAATCATCACCCTCTTAACTTATTGGCTGAGAATGGGCTCCATTCACGCTTCCATTACTGTAACAAGTACTGTAGCATAATTAGATCTGCCAGTGATCCCTGAACAGAAACATACACCGAGTCACATGGGTCCAGATATCCTAGTCTTGTTCGCTCAGACCGGTAGCTTCTTTCTATGTTCATTCCTTCTTATCTTGCTGATTTAGAGCATAACGAGTTTTTTCATGTGCAGATCAACTATTGAGTCTGTCCAGGCTCCTGCATCCCAGGGTAAGAAAATTGCTCAGCAGGGAATGAGTACAATTGTCCTTCTCTTGCTTTCGCTCCCTGGCCATATTTACTTGGTGGCAGCCATGGGTCCGTGAGACCCTTCAGCAAAACACACATTTTATGTATTTATTACATTTATTGGCAAGCTTTTTAAAAAAAAAGTGTAAAGAGCTTCAGGTACAACATCCTGCTTTATGGAGGTATTGTGAGTGAATAGAAATGGTGAGAAGGATCATGGACTCTCTCGTTTTTATAACTCCTTGCAATACCCTTGAAACTATGTGAAATAGTTTTAAGCAGCCTGAATGGGTGGAAGGGACTACTTACACTGATGAAATCGTTGATTTTCAAGGTATATCCTGTCCTCCTTTCTGTAGTTGAGGAAGTATGCTTTAGATGAAGACAGTGGGAGGATGTGAAGGTGCTGGAGGCGACACAGACCAGGAATCTTTGAGGATGGGTTCAAATCCTTCTTCAGCTGCGATAGCCTCAGCTACCTCACATGATTGCTGTGGGGATAAAATGAATGGTGGGGAGTGGGTTGAGAAACCAAACGTAGAGAAAAGCTGGGATATAAATAAAATATGCCATCTCATTTTCAAACCTTTGTGAAAAGCTATGCAGAAAGAGAACAAGTTTCAATGGCTCGAGTGTCTTTAATCAAATTAAACATGCCCGGGTGAAGCCACGCTCCTGTCCTGATCTTTTAGAAGTCTCTTTCGCTTAGCTCAGTTTCTCTAAATCTTGACAAAGAGGAGAGGCCTCGTGTGGGATCTGGGCCAACCTGCCGTTTGGACACGGTGTACTTGGCACAAAGACTCTTCTTTTTTTCCCCCCTTCATCACCTCTTTCCCAAAAACATGGTATGATTTGTGTCCTGATCCCTTTGCCGTCTACTCTTGTGGCTCTGCATTGCCCCAGCCTTAAAAGATGCAAGGTAGAGAGGCAGGGGTAATCTGTATACATGGCCAACTGATGCTGATGCACTTCTTTATATGATGGGCATCAAGCATACAGAACAGCTTATATTTTGTTTATTTTTAGGCATGCATTGGGGGTTCAAACAATGTACAAAACTACTGAAAAAATCTTTGCCTGCTAGCATCCCGACCCCACATCCGCCAATTGGAGAATTAGGTTAAATTCTGTCTCCTCGCCCCTTTGATTTGTTGCGTAATGCTGGGTTTGCTTGTTCATTGATCGGTCCGTTTTGTTCAAAGACAACCATTCTTTTTGTACATTACATTTAGATGAAGGAATAAAGGGCTGTTCCCCACTTCCCCAGTGCATTACTTATTTCAAAAGAAGATATTTTTTTTTTTAGCAGCACCTTGTGATCTAAAAGAAGGGACTAAAAAGGCAGCGTGTAGCATCTTCGGATTTTTAAAAGAAAAACTTCAGCTTTAAAAACTGTTTTCTGTCACAGAAGAATATAAATATTAAATTTATGAATAAATAAAAATCAATTGAAATTGCTTTCATGTTCTTTGTGACAGAAGACTAGCTCATTTTGTGCAGTCTAAGAAAACTTAAAAATTATTAAACAACCTCTCATTTTATGGTATAAAATTATGATGTTAGGATTAACAAATTAAGCATGTTTGATTTCTGATATTGACTTATTTTCATGAAATGGACTTCTGGTTCTTCAGATAACATTCAGCAGATATTATATGTACGGTAATCACCAGGCATGTAATAATAGTACTCCAAATATACCTTCTTTCTCACAAAGAGTGGCTTGATTTCTAAGACACTTTTTGCCGCTTTTATAAACTTCAGCCTGTATGTTTCAGCAATATGGTGCATTTTGCTCTGTGACAGGACTATAAATTTTGGCCAGTGTGGGCTTTGTGCCATGAAAGCATGGATTTATTTGTCAAACGGTGCCTACAGTCTTGTAACTTTTATAGAAAATTATGTCTGAAACATAATCAAAAATATGGTTTTTGATATATATTGACAATAAGTAATTTGTTACTGGTAATTCCGTTCAAATGATCTAAAAATATTATACTCCTTGTTATGATTTAATATGCTTAAGATTGAATGCAAGGTACCTTACAGGAACCTTCATTGTTCTTATCATAGTTACAAATTGTACCTTAAATCATTGCTCATGTTAACAAATTATGTAGATTGACTACAATACAGGGTGTTCTGTTAGACCTCTATATTATATTATACGTGTCTTGAAAATCCCACTTCTGGGTGATATTTTCCATTTTTCAAAGACTGTTGAGGAAAGAAAGTTGGCAAAGAAATTATTCTTGCCATAGCACTGGATCCCAACCTTGGGTCCCCAGATGTTCTTGAACTACTACAACACCCAGAAGCCTTCACCACTAGCTTTGGAGAACATCTGGTGACCCAAGGTCGGGAACCATTATAGGAAAAGACTGGGTTCTTCCGAAATTGATGGGGAGTAGCATCTTACTACTGTGTTGATTTGGGAGGAGACCTTGAATGTCTAATCAAAAGAGATGTAGACTTCAAAATGTGGTCCCCTTGTCTGAGCTGTCCATGAAGGTTTCGTTTCCAGCTATTACTGGTATGGCACTCCTTACCATCTTGGTTATATAAATGGCCTCAGGATGTGGCAGATCCTACACAAATAGAATTGGGTGGAAGCGCCATGTTATGTGTTATACTTGGAAGTTCCATGCAAATACCTGCTTACTTAATGAAATGCTGTTGCTTAAGACAGCAACATGTCTGGCTTGCGTAACTTAAGACACGTTGTCCATGTAGAATCTCTGGTATGAGCTTCCAGTGTTAATCAACCGTTCCCCTCACTTTCCTTCTTTTGTTTTAAAGGTCTCCCTGCTTCACCGGTTTCAGAGTACACTGGTAATAGCTGAACATGCCAACGAATCTCTGACGCCTATTACGTTAAACGCCATCGGTGCAGCAAAACGTCTCGGAGGTGAAGTCTCGTGTTTGGTAGCTGGCAACAACTGTGAAAAGGTAAAAAAGAAAAAGATGCAGGATGGTTACTTGATGCTGAAATCAGAGGACAAAGAACTCCCTGTTTTACCTGTTCTTGATAAAGGAGGGCTTTAAATTTTAAGAAAGCACCACTCCAGTTCGCTGCAGCATCTAGTTGCAGCAGTAAACTCTGTGTATGTGCTGACGAATAGCAATAGAATACATTTCTTGCCACAGGTAGCTCAAGAGCTGGCCAAGGTGCAAGGGCTTGCCAAGGTTCTCCTGGCCCAGCATGATGCGTACAAAGGACTTCTGCCCGGTGAGGCTTATTCTCAAACCCTGCTTCTCATTAAGATTTCCTGCCGTCAGCTTTGTGCTGGAATATATAAGGTGCTCTGACCAGTTTGTCTCGTTTCCCAGAGGAGCTGACTCCATTGATCTTGGCAACTCAGCAGCAGTTTAATTACACCCACATCTGTGCCGGAGCATCTGCTTTTGGGAAGGTCAGTCTGCATGAAAGCCCCCCCAGATCTGTTGCTCTCAAAACGGTGACCCTTAAACAGGGCGCACGTCACCCAAAATTATTATTTATACATACAGAAAATGTTTTCTCCTAAATGCTGTGTATGTTTCTTATGTGCAGCTGCCGTTATTTGAACAGTGCTTGTACCCCAGAGAAGCATTAAGTGTGCGGCCATTAGTTGCCTGTAATTTTAGCAATAAAATTTGGATATAATCAGTTTTATGTGCTTTTCTAATTTATCAACAAGATGTGCTACTAAATAGATCTATACTTAATGTTTAGAGTCTTCTTCCCAGAGTGGCGGCTAAGCTTGATGTCGCTCCCATCTCGGATATAATTGAAATTAAGTCACCTGACACGTTTGTGCGAACTATTTACGCAGGTGAGTTCTGTAGGCCTGAGTGTACCTCTGAGATATGTGCAGGTTTGCAGGAGTGAATCCCGCATTGCTTTGCTCACAAGAACAGAAGAAGAAGAAACAGCTTTTGTGACACAACTAATAGGATCATCGCTGGTGCTACAGGATTGTACTTCAAAGTCCTGGGAAACCAGATATAGCTTCTTAATTAACAGAATCTGCTGACGTACTTCAAATGTATTATATTTCTGTTAATGCATTTCTGATAAGATTTTGCAAACTGTAAGGCATTCAGATAGTTCTCTTTATTTAATATGGGTTACATTAGATCTGATTTCAGCAATCTATAGGGTTATTTTTCTTAGTTAGGGAGACAGTGATATGATTATTTGTAATATTTAATTGACTTTTCCTAATCATTTTGCAGCCCTTGTTTGTCTGGCCTCATCATGCTTGTCTGATCCTATAATTTAATTTGGACATGAAAGCATTAGTCGTTATGTCTTTTAAATTTGTTATGACAGGATTTTCTTTCCTGAGTTTGTCATGTTCCCCTGCCTTCTAAGATTGATGGACTGTATATAAACTTTGATGTATATTCTAATAATCCCCTTTCTGAAATAATCGATGCTTCCTTGTTACTAGTGTCTATATTTCCTTTCTTACTTTCCAGTAACCTTTCCCTTATCTCTGTAGTTAAAACAAAAAAGTGAAAGGAATTAAATGAACAGTACTTTTGGTAAATATTGAATTAATCTGGACATAAATACTGTTGAACCTGTTCTTTCATATTTCACCCGAATCTTTCAAGATTCCTTCATATATGTAATTCGTTTGCCCTCCTAATTATATTTACCTGGAACGAGATTCTGTTGAAATCAATGTAGTTTCAGGAAAGCAGGTTTAGGGTTGGTTGCCAGTCTCTTAGTATCAACTTTCCCAAGGACCAACTGCTGTCTGAGATAAACACAAATTGTTTCATAACAGGCATAAACTATTTGTGAAAGTTGGTTTTTGAACTGGGTTGCTTATAAGGGTAGCACTGAAGAATTAAAAGCAGAGACACTTCAGTTTTGTCTAGTTTATCTTCCGAATTAGTTGTTCCTTCTATTTCTGAACACGTCAGAACATTTTTTCCCTCTAGTTTCCTTGCCGTAGTTGTGAGTGACCTTTGAAGCGTTGTGTCGTTTGTGCAGTTTTCATAATGGTTTGACACAGCAGGTCGCCTATAGGAATGACAGAATTCTTATTTCTCTTTGATGATACAACTTGGTTTTCCAGGAATAGGAAGTTTTCCTTTGAGAATCAGTTGCTTCTTCTTTTTTTCTGAACATATTGCCATTGTGTTGATGGTTTTTAGCATTTCTGCACAGTTCTGCAAATGTTGTGTAGTTTGGTCCTAATTGCTGACCCCCTTTTTACAAGAATCCATGGGATAGGGCTTTTCTTTATAACCGCAGCTAGATCATGGAAATCCTTCCCGAGGCACTCAAGCTGGCGTCACTCCCATTAAGCCTTCAGTGGGCAGCCAAAAACTGTATGGTTCTAAAAGGCCTTTAAGGCTGGTTTTAAAATTTGTGTCCAGGGAATATTTTCAGAGTTCTTTTAAAGAATGTTTTCAATGTCATTATAGATACTGTTTCAAATGTTTTGTTTGTTTGTTTAAATAATTTTTAATCTGTTTGTACATGGTTTTGAGAGTCCTGTAAAGCAGAATAACAATATTGTAAATAAGTAAATAGATGTTGTGCCCAAGGAATGTTACTGTAGAATCCTCTGCTGACATAAGAAATAGTTTTCTGCAACACCAAGGAAATGTATTTGTTTATGAGATTGATATCTAGAAATGAAACTTTTTGTAGCTTGAATCTGAAGTCATTTTGCCTGAGCGACCACCATGTGGCCTTCTAAGAGCAGTCATTTATGGAGCGAGGAGTTGTGTGTTTTCACAGAAGGTGCGATCTTTTTGTAGGAAATGCCCTGTGCACGGTGAAGTGTGAGGAGAAAATAAAGGTGTTCTCTGTTCGAGGGACATCCTTTGAGGCTGTCCCTGTCAGTGGTGGCAGTGCTAGCGTAGAAAAAGGTGAGTGTCCAACAGTGTTCTGTCCCTGTTTTTCAAGTTGCAACTGGGTTAAAAACCATTCTCGTTTTTAAAACAGATTTACCTGTTTTGGGCTATGAAAAGTCTGCCTTTCTTGCATCCTTCAGCCACACCAGTATATAGTTGCCACATTCTCTAAGGTCCTGGGGTCTGATCCTTCCAGGAATGTGTTAAAGTCTCCTGGATCTGGTTATATACAAGCCTGTGGTATCTAAAATGGGTAACGCTGTTTTGAATGGCTAAAATGATTTATAGACCTAGTCCATATCTTACCTGGATACAATCTTAGGAAACATTATGGAGAAATCACTTGATATTACCTCCAAACATCTTTCATTTGTGGTATTTGTTTGCTTTGTAAACCTTACAATTTATTTAACATTACAGCAAATAAAAATGGATAAAGATTGTATATTGCATTGCTTTAAATTAATCACAGTAATTCCAGTGTCATAAAGTAATGTTCATCACAGAGAGGAGGCGTCATTTTCTGGGTGTATGATGTTTTCTAGTACCTAGTGGTGTACCTGTGTTTTAACAAAAAAAAAAAAATTATGACATTATTTTGATAAGCTACTCCACTTCTTCCAGTGGTTGATTCTAGTCCACGAGAGCTGATGCCATAAAAGGCTTTTTAGCATTTCAGGTGCCATGTTGTTGCTATGCTCCAATCAACTTGCTTCTGACTTAGGGTGACCCCTTGAATGAGCCATCTCCAAAAAGTTCCATCCTCAACAGCCTTGCTCAGCTCTTGTAAACTCAAGCTTATGGCTTCCTTTAGGGAATCAGTCTGTCTCATATTTGGTCTTCCTCTTTTCCTGCTGCCTTCAACCTTTCCTCGCATTATTGTCTTTTCCAGAGAGTCCTGCCTTCTCATGATGTGCCCAAAGTAGGACAGCCTCAGTTTCAACATTTTTGCCTCCAGAAATAGTTCAGGTGTGGTTTGTTCTCAGGTGTTAGGACCAGACTCCTATTGGTTAGTTGTTCCAGTGCAGGCACAGTGGTATAGTTAATTGCTCCTAGTTAATGATCTGCTGCTTGAATCCCTTTTTGTACACCAACTTAGCTAGCTGGTGCTTGGTGGCGAATATAAGCAGTGCAATTAGTTAATTGCTCCTAGTTAATGATCTGCTGCTTGAATCCCTTTTTGTACACCAACTTAGCTAGCTGGTGCTTGGTGGGGAATATAAGCAGCGCAATAAGTTCAGTAGTGGCAATTCATTGCTGCAGTTTATGCCATTGTGCTACAGTAAACAGTATAAAAATATATAAAATCATAGTGGCAATTCATTGTTGCAGTTTATGCCATTGTACTATTTCACTGGAAGCAGCTAAGAGGATTCTCACCTATATTTTGCTAAACATTTGCATATTCCCTTGATAATGGGCCTAATTGTTACCTTTCAGTCTTGGTTTTACTCTGTTCAGTAGCTTCCACCTTCTTTTAATTAAACATGTAAAACAGATACAATTCTTTACATCTTTTTCTTTAACTTAAAACAAGTTGGAATGCTAGAAACTGATAAAATTTTCTTTAGAATAGGAAATTTGGTCTCGGAGGTGGGAGGTTGTGGGGACTCATCTGCGTCCTGAAGAAAACTTACCGAGTCCCCTCTTTGTGGTTTTTGACCCCAAAACAGTATCAGGTCCGGCACCTGTTGGTCAATCCGAGTGGCTTGAGCAAAAGCTGACCAAAAGTGATCGACCAGAACTGACCAGCGCAAAAGCTGTCGTATCTGGAGGTAAGTAGTGGCTAACTGGTATAGTGGTTGAAAAAAATTCAGTACACCAGAATATACCAAAAAGAGAGAGAGATGCATTTCTGGTTTGTAATCTATAGCTGGAAAGGTAGCAAAGTGGAGAAGTCCCTGGTTTATTAAATTGGAAATAAGGGATGTATGAGTTAACTAGCTGAAAATCTTAGCATTTGTCTTATCCAAGGGATAATCAAAGGAATGATTGCTGTTCCAATGGAGTCTATTGCTTTGCATTCCTATGATGTTGGCCAAGGAGCTTCTATTAAAGAAGGTTTTTCTTTATGAAGAATGAATTTTCAGCATGAACACTACTGAAAAAGCGACGTCTACGTTGGCTCGGGCACGTCGTGAGAATGGCTGATGGTTGGATTCCAAAGGATCTCCTCTATGGAGAATTAGTGCAGGGAAAGCGCCCCAGAGGGAGACCACAACTGCGATACAAGGACATCTGCAAGCGAGATCTGAAGGCCTTAGGAATAGACCTCAACAGATGGGAAAACCTGACATCTGAGCGTTCAGCCTGGAGGCAGGCGGTGCATCACGGCCTCTCCCAATTTGAAGAGACCCTTGCCCAGCAGGCCGAGGCAAAGAGGAAGTCACAAAAGCAGCAAAACCAGGGAGCTGGACAGGGGACAGATTGTATTTGTCTTCAGTGTGGAAGGGATTGTCACTCTCGAATTGGCCTCTTCAGCCACACTAGGCGCTGTTCCAAGCCCTCCATACAGAGCACGCTACCATAGTCTTTCGAGACTGAAGGATGCCTAACTAACTAACTTATACAATGGCAACGCAGGCACAGGTGGTGACCCTGTGTTACTACAGTGGCAGGATTTTTCACTTAGCAGAAGTTCAAAGGGGAAGGGAGCATTGTATTTTGAGTAGTATGTGCGCACACACATGTAAGTTAAAGCCACAAAAAAGGACTCTTCACCTGCTTTCTTACATGGAAGTCATCCCTCCCAGACCAGCAGGGGGAGTGTAAGTTGTTACGCTCTAATTCCCTCAACACATTTGCTTTTATGGAGGCACACAGTGGTTCATACATTAGCATTAATGAAAAAATAATAATTCTTGGTAAAGGTTAAGGAATAATCCGGTTAATCCAAATGCATGTAAATAAATGCCATTCAAGGTTCCTCCCAGTCCTACGAACTGTGCATTGGCATGTCCCGTGTTTTTCCTTGACTGGGACAGCTAGGTGAAGTGTAATTCTAGACGATGCTACAATTTCAAGGTGCTGGAACATGGTCAGTATCCTGTTTTTTCAGGTCGAGGCTTGAAGAGCGGAGAGAATTTCAAACTGTTGTATGATCTTGCAGATCAACTGCACGCTGCAGGTAAAAAGGGCATTTTTATTGGTGATTTCTCAAACCTTCGTGAAGGCACAACAGTCAGTGCTGTGCCACTTCATTTCGCCTTCTCCCACGAGGGGCACACACTTACCGTATTTTTCACACCATAAGACACACTTTTCCCCCACAAAACAGGGGGGTGGAAAGTCTGTGCGTCTTATTGAGCGAAGAAAACAGATTATATTTTCCTGTTTTCTTCTCCTAAAAAATTGGTGCGTCTTATGGAAAGGTGCGTCTTATGGAGCGAAAAATACGGTAACTTATTGGTTATTTTGAGACTGCATAAACCCCGGCTAAAGGCAGGATCGCTGCACATATGCGAGTGTTTGTGGTTCGTGATCCTATGGGCAATATCAGGAATCCCCTTCAGACGAAAAAGCACTTAGGATAAAGTACTAAATGTTGCTCTCAGGTTTTGAGAGTCTTGTTTTGCCTGCTTCCTTCTTTCCTTCCTTCTAGTTGGTGCTTCTCGTGCTGCTGTCGATGCCGGTTTTGTACCCAACGACATGCAAGTTGGACAGACGGGGAAGATTGTAGCACCAGTAAGTAGAGTTGCCGTTTCCTATGATTCAGAGAAGCATTTCGGCATCTTCTGATTTGCATCCACAGGTTGCGCCTCAGGCTCCAGGGGCCGGCCAGGGGCTGCCCCCCGCTCCTCATTGCTGCAGCCTGTTGTGACTTGGGGGTTGTTCTAAGCCTTTCCCATCCTCTTTGTCATATCAGTTTGTCTTGGGAAGGCACAAGGATTCCCTCATGGCCTTTGGTGTCATTGCACCAGTCGCCACCCATGACGGTCATCCACAGAATAGGTGACGTCCCTCTGCTGCCTGAAATGGGCGGGGCTTCCTGCACAGACGTGGCCGAATTGTGTGACCGAAGCGCTGTGTCTTGGGATGGAAGGGAATGCCATTAAATCTTGTTCCTTGTTCACCTTACTTAGTGCCTCTAAAACGTACAGCAGAGGGGGAAAAAATGAAAAGTGGAAGCTTAGACTCAGCATCTTCATATAGTCAACCAGGGGCATCTCTGATGCCAGACTCTTTAACCGTTTGCTGTATTTCTCCCAGGGATCTCGCACAAAAGACTTCACTTAAGAGTAAAGAGTCTGGCATCAGAGATGCCCCTGGTTGACTATATGATATAGGGGAGAAGAGGGAGAGGGTGGCTTGGCATCCTGCCAGGAGAAACGGTGATTACAATGGTAGGCTTAGAGTTGTGGCGCTTAAAAGATGAGGGTCTGGGCCTTCAGGACAAGTTGAGGGTCCTGTGGGGTCTGCAGGATTCTGAGTACCAAATGTTAAAAAGTTCCTTGATGTGGAACAAAGACAGTCAAGGGCTGGAGATCCTGGGTAGGACTCCCCCCCCCTGAGCTGCACCAGCTCTTCCACGGGGGGGGGGAAACACACCTTGAATTTTGCTTTAGAACAGCTGTTCCTACCTTTGGGTCACCCAGGTGTTCTTGGACTGCAATTCCCAGAAGCCTTTACCACTGTCTATGTTGGCTGGATTTCTGGGAGTTGCAGTCTAATGGCTTACCCAAGGTGGGGAACCACTGCTCTGGAACAAGGTTTGGGAGGCATGGATCCCGTTGGCCACATGATTCCCCATGTAGAAATATCCAGAGTATGGAAGAGTGTGTGGTAGCCTCAATAAGTTTCCAGTCTGTGAATATTGGTGTTTCCGCCCACCATGCCCTTGGGATTTTGTAAGTTGGGCGTGGGCTGCCTGATGCCATCCAGACATTTTGCACAACAGTTCCCATAATCCCTGACCATTAGCCATGCTGGTTTCTGGCTGAAGAAAATTGTACTCCAAAATATTGGGGAGCCACCTAGGAATTATTTCTGTTAGAGTGCGTATCTTTAAATTTTAGCAGCATCAAAGATTTCCTTGCATTGTTTGTGTACAATTGAAGGGGAAAATATATTTTAAAATGTTGGCACACTTATTTTGCCACCTATAGCATACACAACGAAAGAAAATGCATTGCGTCTGAAGCAAAGAGAACAAAAATTAATCACAGTTTTCATTTGAGTTGTGATCTAACTTAATTCAATCAACAAGTGAATTTGTAACTTGACCTTGGTTTAGATTGTTACGTGCTTTTGTGGCTTTATTTTATCCCCTGTATACAAGCCAGTTAGACATAGGTATTTTCACATGACCTTTTCTTGAAATAATCGCTTCAGAAAGATTAATTACCGTGTTGAAATTAGTCAGACTCATCTAATATTTTATTGTTCTCAATTCACTTTTACTAGTAATTTTTTAAAATTAAGAAAAGGAAAATTTGGAGAGAAAAAATCCAGCCCAAATAGCTTATGTGTGTATATTTCTGGAGTTATTATGGGGTGGGAGTGGGCACCACAGTCCCACCACTTGTTATCTAGACATCTCCATAGGTGTCTTAAGGTACCTCCTGTCTTTCTAAAAGTTAACACAGGCAGTGAGTGCTAAGGGCAATGATCAGAATTGAGGCCACTGAAAAAGAGGAGAGGTATGAGCAAGCCTGAAGTCTGTGGAAGTCTTGAAAATTATTTTAAAACAACCTACCCATCATGGGCATCCTCACCGCATGGCCAGACCCATGAACACTCAGTTTGCTTGGTAACTGCATTGTACGCCGTGTTGGTTGGAGCAGAATAATGGGACAGGGAGAGAGAATGGAATGGCCTGCTGGAGGAGAGCAAGTAGAACTGAGGGTCATCAGTGCTGTAGGGATGACACTCCCCCTCCCTCCCAAGGTCTTAATAACCTCATCCAGTGGCTTTGTATAGATAATAAGCAGCATAGGAGATAGAATAGAGATCCCCGTGATGCCCCACAGCTTCGTAGCCATGAGTTGGAACAGGCCTCCCACCAGAGCCCCATTCCGTAGCCAGCACTGTAGCCAGGAAAGAAACCACAGCAAAATGGGGCCTCCGGTTCGCATATCGCAGAGCTGGTCCAAAAGAATATACCCTGGGCTGATGCTTTTGATAGCTACTGAGAGGTGCAGGAGAACCAACAGAGGCATCAGCACCTCCTGTCTTTCCCCAGAGGACATCATCTTCCGTCAGGGCAACCGAGGCAGTTACAGGATTAAATTCCAGCCTGAGGCCAGACCCCAAATTTGCAACTCTAGAATTATTTCTGTTTCACAATCTGCACTCTTTAAAAAGAGCAGGTTCTGGAGCAGGTTGCACTAAAAGTATTGCAAATACCTACTTGGTGTCCCGTTTTAAGTTCTCACTCCTCCCAGTTTACTCCTTTTGAAGGACTGCAGTACGGCTTTATTGAATCTAGGGACACCGTGTCAGTCTTAAGATGGACAAATCCGTGCTGCTATCTGTTGAAAAGTTTGGAGAAAAACTGGGCTTTGGTTTGGAAAACTGCCTGTTTTCCGTGAGCTCTTAGCAGTGTCGGAAAGTTGTGTTGAAGTCGCGAATGTCCGAGAGCAGTTTCTGCGCAGCCAGGGCTGAATGTTCAGAGACGGTCTTTCTCTGACTTGCGAAAAAGCTGAAGACTGACAGCCCCTTTCATCCTGCATTATCCAGCGTGGCTTTTAAGACCAAGAGAACTGTGTTCTCAAATTGATGTTCTGCTCCTCAGGGGTTGGTGCAGAAACATTAAATTGTACTAAAATATTCATATGAGAGTGCATTTAGCTGAAAGCAATTGATGTGCTTCTCCCAGGAGAGTGGAAAAGAAATGCTGTACGGCCCCGCACTCAAGCAGACACCCTAAGCACGCTTCTTAAGAGTAATCACGTGTCCCTGCTGATCAAAGCCCCCCTATAAGTTCTTAAACTGAGAAAGGATTAAGAAGGGCTGGAAATGTTTGACCTGGCGGACTCTTTAGTGACGTGAATAATTTCAATCCTGGAGCATTGTGGGGAGTCTTTCAGTACGATAAGAGCAGGCTCAATGCCCACATTTAGAGGGGGAAATGGCTTAATTGCTTTTAATTACATACTTGCAATCAAGGCATCTCCTGTGTTTTTACTGTTAGAAAAAAGAGAGCACTCTATGATGGAGAATTTTGTGCTGGACTGAACTGGACTTGCACAGGTTGTGATACACAGATTTGGGGCAGGTTTGAGCCTTCAAGGAGAGGTATGGTTTTGGGGGGGGGACAGAAGCACCCAAAATGTTGGCTCCTGATGTTGACGAACCCTTTATCTGAGAGTTGGCCACCTCTCTCTCCCGGCCCTCTGACATGTGCAGAGAGGCAGAGCTAAACAAGAGGCGGGTTTTTTTTACAACTTGTGTTCTCTTTCTGGAGAAGTGAGATGCATGGAAACGGGTCCTAAACTTTTGTATTTGACCTGTGAACAAAGTAGAGCGATGTTACATTAAACGTATGTGAGAGGGAGAAGAGCAGAGAACTGAATAAAAACGGTAGCCTTAAAATAGTCAAAGCATACTCAGTTGTCCTGTATTGTCTTTACTGTAACAATCACTAACGAGGATCCTGAAACTATCCAAAGCAAGGTGTAGAAGTCAGCCTGTGGACATATTTCCATGCATACCCATTTCTACCTGTTTTTTATTGCCCATTCTTGCCCCCAAAGGCTGCCACGTGGCTTCACGTGGCTTCAGGAAGAACTGGGAAGGGGCAGACCTCTGTCAGGGCCTGGACTCCAGACCTAACAACTGAGCCAACACAGGTCCTTGTTTGCTGACGTTTTAATGTCCTCTCCTGGAAGGAATTTCTCCTATTTCTCGACCCTTTCTGGAGGAATCTTAGATCCCTGGATTCTCATTTCTTCAATTCCATCTGCCTGCCACCCAAGGCTTCCTAAAGCCCCTCTTTTTTTTCTGGCCATTTAGTTCCTCTTCCTTTCCCCACTTTGATTGACTCTCTGTCTCCACCATACACGATCCTTCTGGAACTTCAGTGCTGTGACTTATCCCTCTCTTCAAGACGGCCTCTCTGAGTGAGCCTCTTTCTGATCTGATCTCCTTTCCTTCTGGCCTGATTCTGTGCCCAGCCTTCTTTCACATTCATAGCCTGCTCTGCCCCCTGCTTTGACTCGGTTCTGCAGGATCTCTCTGTCTAACCCTGTGCAAGGTTTTGCATGCTTGTCTTTCTCCCTGACATCATCATTACAGCAACACTGAGGGTAGATTACAGTCTGAAAGGGGCAGGACCGGCTCCATCGTGGCTTCTGAAGGTCATGCGGAAATCAATGAGTTCCATGGCCAAGTAGACGTTTGACCCCGCGTGCCATGGTCCTATAACAGGTTCGCTTTTAGTGTTTTCCTTCCTTTCCCTCCTGTAGTTTGCTGGGCCAGCTCGTAGCCTGATTCAGGCCCATCTCTGCCACAAATGCAGTACGAGTGAACCCTGCAACGAAATGGAGCAATATATCCTCTGCCTCTTACAAGATTTCTCCTACGTAAAATGCGGTCTCAAGTGTTCAAGGAGGCGAACCCATTCTGCCCCCTTTTTTCCCATTTTATTTTGCAGAGGATAATTCAACCTTCTGTGGCCTTTGGCAAACACCGGGCATATGTTCCGTCCTCACTGGGCTGTGTTTTGTGTGGATTTCCCTGCTTTGATTTGTTTCCAAAATAGGAATATGTTAGCTAAAGCAAACTTTGGTTTTTTTCCCCCCATGCATGCTGAAACCTGTTTTCTTTTGCCACTGGCCACCTGAGTTTGCGGTTAGAGGAGGTTGCAATTTTATATCCGTGCAGTTTTCTGAAAAAAACTTTGAAAGTCTTGCAACAAACAGCGCTAGAAAGGCATTGGACTAAAATGATCGTTATGTGTTTGTGCATTTAATACGTAAGTAATTAGATAATAGGAAAACGTTTGCTAATGAGATGTGCAAATAGAGTGAAATACGAAGGTTTTTAGCTGGATGAAATACATTGTGCACTAGTTTAATGGAGTGAAAAGCAGGTCTTCATTAGATCAGAAAATCCTGTGTCGGTCGGTGTGTCGAGCAGAGAGCGACCAAGACAGCAAAGGGTGTGGAAGCCGAGCCTTATTTATGATTGGGACAATTTAAGAGAGCTGGATGTGCATAGACTGAGGTAGGGAAGACGGAGAAGTGGTATGATTTTTGCCTCTAGATATTTGAAGGGATATCTCATAAAAGGTGGAGAAAGTTTGTTTCCTGCTTGAACTTGGTGGGTTCAGATTCCAAGAAAGGAGGTTTAGACTAAACTGTGGGAATGTCTTCCTGACAGTAAGAGCTTTTAGTATTAGAAATCCCTTTAGAAGGTGGTGGGATTCTTGTTCATTAAAGATTCTTGAGCAGGGACAGGTGGCCGTCTGTCGGGGGCATTTTAGCTATTGGTTTCCTGCATTGGCTGGATTTGGAGTGAAATAATAAGGTTATTAATAACTTGTCCATCAAGGCATTTCTGACTTTCCAGTTCTGTGATTCTCTGCAAATCTGTTCCCTTTTTGCATTTCTTCCCTTATCTATCTTTTTTGTGATAATTAACAAATATATTATTTCCATACTCATAATGGGCGGCGACATCAAGAGCATTTGGGGAAGTTAACATCAGGTCTCCCATAGCATAGGATGAGGGGCATAGAAGACACTGACACAGGTGTGAAGACACCTTTTCTGTGTTTGCAAAGAACGGTCTCCGAGCAACCCCCCCCCCCTTTAAGGTTAAAGGTTCCCCTTGACATTTAGTCCAGTCGTGTCCAACTCTAGGGTGTGGTGCTCATCCCCGTCTCCAAGCCGTAGAGCCAGTGTTTGTCCGTAGACAGTTTCTGTGGTCACGTCGCCAGCGCGACTAGACACGGAATGCCGTGACCTTCCCATCATGGTGGTATCTATTTATCTACTCACATTTTTACATGCTTTCAAACGGCTAGGTTGGCAGGGACTGGGACGAGCGACGGGAGCTCACTCCATCGCGTGGGTTCGATCTTACGACTGCAGGTTTTCTGACCTTGCAGCACAGAGGCTTCTGCGGTTTAACCCGCAGCACCACCACAGTCCCTTTTTAAGGTTAACTCATGTCAAAACCAAAACAAACCATAGTCTCTTTCCTTATAATAATGCCTCACGTGTATATTATCGTTCCGCAGCTTTGGAAACTGTTGTAGCAATTAGAGCAAAGTACATTGGATACGTGGCCACCAGCTGTGCTTGCTAAACATGGAAGGCCCATGTTTTGAGACCCCTGGTTATTAGATGCTAAGGGCAGGCACAACAACAGGTGCTTCCAACGTCTAAGAGCTTTCTAGTTATATTTGACTGTGAAGCACTTGATGAGAAGCTCTTCTAGTCTGATCCACCAAATAAATTCCTACACATTTAACTTTATGGACAACCACTTATGAGAGCTCCGATCCGTTGTTTGGATCTGAGAGGAAGAGCTAATTCCAGCAATGCAAAAGCAGCGTCATCTGAGACTGTTGATGCCTCAGTGGGCAGCCCGCAAAGCCATGGAATGCACCTAAGGGTGGTGGTGAGCATTCACATCCCATACCGTTCAGAGGAAGAGGCCAGCATTTTGGAAAAACAGGATTAAGGCAACTGTCCTAGATGTCTTTATTGGGCTGTAAGCCCAGTAAACTCAATGCGTTTCGCTTCCAGATGTTAGAATGCACCATATTGTGTTGAAAGTTTGTTGATAAGGCATTTGCTCTCAGGTAGTGTTCCTTGTCTGCTAACTCTGCAACTGAATGAGACCAGTTTGGGATAAGCTTCACAGCCACTTGGAGCCCCAGACTCAGCACTTGTATATCTGTGTACATGTTGAATTATACAATTTTAAGACGAAAGGGCTGGCCGGATAGGTGGAAGGTTTGGAAAAAAACCCAGGTAAATAAAGGGGAGAGGAACTGATGTCTTGTTTTTAAGAACTAGCACATCTGTTGCTTTCTGTGGCTCTTGCACACTGTTAAACATCTGCACGAGGACGATTAAGGAAGCATAGATTTTTCCTACCTGAACAGTTCTGGCTTATCTTGTCCTTGGAAGGGTTTTGAATTGACTAAACAATGTGAAAATTGGTGATTTCCAGAAAGAGTTGACCTTCCGAATCTCATCAGCCTAGCCTGTGGTGAGGGGTTGTGGAAGCCGTGGTTCGTCCACATCTGAACGTTCGTTCCCGCCTCACCTGGGGCATCAGGTGGCAATAGGTGCTTGCAGAATGTGCCCTTCCCCCCAATTTGGAAGGTTTCATTCAGTTTTCTTGTTTGTTCCAGGAACTGTATATCGCCGTTGGAATATCTGGAGCAATCCAACATCTCGCTGGAATGAGGCTCTTGCACACTGTGTGTGTTATATTTTTGTGTGTGTGTGTGTGTGTGTGTGTGTGTTTGTCTGTGTGTATTTTGCAGGCAAGGTGATTCCTCATACAAAAAAAAGTGACAATCATCTTTTGAGGGGTTGTGATGGTGTAGAAAAATACAAAGGTTGTACATTGAGCCCATTTTAGAAAGTAAATCAGTTGTCAGCATATCACTTTATGGTCAATAATAACATGAACTAGCTGGTTAATAGTGCACACATTGAGAAATTCATTGATTGCTGCTTCTGAAGCCCATCTTCAGAAACAGAACTGAATTTATAGCTTAAACAAAACAAGTCTGTATAAGAATCCTATCCTGCAGACCCACATTCATATATTTCAGAATCTGACACATGAATTCATGCATAACAATGTGCAATTTGAATTATGGACTTACTACTCCATAAAGTAAAAGACGCCTTTGAATGCTCCAGCATTTATCCATTCAAATGGAAAGCTATTATAAAATGATGATAAAACTTTAAAAGGCTTAACTCGTTCGTAGCTGAAATGCTTTCCGCTGACGCAAGACTAGTTCAGTCCTCTGTCCAAGATTATCTTTCTACTCTACCGGTGGAATATGATTTGTATCTATTTTGGAATTCAGTCTTTGCATTTTTGGAAGGCAATTTAACTAATCTTGTCTTGCTGTGGATTCCTGTTAAGGTACTGCAACTATTAAGCCATTCTGGGTTTGTCCTGCATGCCCTGCTTTTCTCCTTCACTGTCTGCTGTGCTTTTTCTCTTTTAAATACAACGGGCCAAATTATTGCATGTTATTGCAAACAAAGGCTCTTAAGAATCTCTGAGCAGCTTAGTCAAATAACCAACTGATTTTAGCAGTTCAGTAGGAAAAATTAAATAAATAGGGCAGATGTAAACACAGCACTCCCTTGTGGATCCTTTCTGAGAAAGGCTTGGTCAGAATGAGTGCACAACGTAGGAGTTACAGGGTAGAAAAGTCACTTTAGCTGTGTGTTCATTCCAATGCCATTAAATCATGCACCTGTTGTGGGGTTTTCCAGACTGACATTTTTCGCATTGCAACTATCATACTATGGCTGCAGTGCTTTAGGGCTCTGATCCTAAGTGCACTTACTTGGGAATAGACTTCATTGGAGATCATTGTTGTTGTTTAGTCATTAAGTTGTGTCCGACTCTTTGTGACCCCATGGACCAGAGCACGGCAGGTCCTCCTGTCTTCCACTGCCTCCTGGAGTTGGGTCAAGTTCATGTTGGTCGCTTCAATGACACTGTCCATCCATCTCATCCTCTGTCATCCCCTTCTCCTCTTGCCCTCACACTTTCCCAACATCATCTTCTCTTCTCATGAGATTGCCAAAATATTGGAGGATCAGCTTCAGGATCTGTCATTCCAGTGAGCGTTCAGGGTTGATTTCCTTCAGAATGGATAGGTTTGTTCTCTTTGCAGTCCAGGGGACTCTCAAGAGCCTCCTCCAGCACCACAATTCAAAAGCATCCATTCTTTGGCGTTCAGCCTTCTTTATGGTCCAGCTCTCACTTCCATACATTGCCACTGGAAAAACTATAGCTTTGACTATGCGGACATTTGTTGGCAAGGTGATGTCTCTGCTTTTAAGATGTCTAGGTTTGTCATCGCTTTCCTCCCAAGAAGCAGGCGTCTTTTAATTTCTTGGCTGCTATGATTGTGGAGCCCAAGAAAGTAAAATCTGTCACTGCCTCCATATCTTCCACTTCTGTTTGCCAGGAGGTGATGGGACCAGTGGCCATGATCTTCGTTTTTTTGATGTTGAGCTTCAGACCATTTTGGCGCTCTCCTCTTTCACCCTCATTACAAGGTTCTTTAATTCCTCCTCACTTTCTGCCATCAGAGTGGTATCATCTGCATATCTGCATATCTGAGGTTGTTGATATTTCTCCTGGCAATCTTAATTCCGGTTCTGCCTTTCCCCATGATGTATTCTGACCCTAAAGGCAGACTGCTTCATTTTGGGCAATCTTAATTCCGGTTTGGGATTAATCCACTTCTGCCTTTCCCATGTTGTATTCTGACCCTAAAGTCAGACTACTTCATTTTGGGGTGCCGTGAGTGTCTGCCTGCACCACGTAGGAGCAGTGACATTTCGTACCACACAACCCATGAAGTTGCTGTCCCTCTTGTTGAGTCTGTTTTATCCAGAGTTCCTTTTTGAGAGATTCCTTTTTAGATTGCAAGTCCCAGAAACGCCTAGCCACTATGGCCAGTGGCCAGGCAGGCTGGGAAGTTCTGGGAGTTGCAGTTCAAAAAAAGGGAACATCCCCAAATTCTGGTTTTATCTCCAAGAAGAGGCCCAGTTCGCTTGTGTTCAGGAGCGGCTAGGACTACTGTGTGTGTTTCACGGCAAAGTTTTCCATATTTTAAGGGATATTTTTATTTATTTTTAAACTGGCACGATTGAATAATATGTTAAATCATATTTTCTGGCATTTTCATAGCTGAGAATAGCTATCACCGTTAAGTACGTGTTGATATTAAATAATGTCAGCTTCCCTATTCCCTTGGATTTTTTAAAATACATATATGACTAGAATAGAACGTTTTATTTACGAAACTTTGTACAAATCCTGAGAAGGAGCCTATCAGTAACCGTCCGGCTCAGGACTGGCTGGCACACAGTTTGGTTAGCTATGTCTGTAGCCACAGATCATGCTACTGTTAATGCTTGAAAATAAGAGGTAGGCACAAACTGCCAGTTCGGTGGCTCCTTTCTCAGCCGAATCAGTGTTCGGTGCTTCCAAGCCCCACCTCTCCTCTGGTAGGTTGCTCAATCAGAGGCATCGCCTGGAGAAGGCGGGGCAGAAAAGCCAGGCTGCTTCCTCTGAGTGGGCGCCTGCTGGAGGAGGCGGAGCTTTGATGCGCCGAACCCCTACTTGGCCAAGAAACGAACCATCACGAACCACTGAACCAGCGGGTTTCTGCCCATCTCTACTTGAAAACTTTTCTACTTCCAATACTACATCACTGACCATTAAAATGAAGTGGATTTTATAGGACTTCACTAAGCTGCTCTATTTCTGTGCCTTACTCCCAATTTTGAACCTGACCTGTTCTGAGAGATTCGGAGACACTGAGCTCTTAAGATTTTTCTCACATTTTGCTTCTATATTTAAACTCATAGGATACGTTTTCCAAGGCTTAAACTTTATTTTACTTTTACTTGACCCGTGCCCTACTTCCATGTTCATTATCAACACTACACGGGCGATGTATTTGCTCAAAGAGATCAAATTTATATAAAATGTAAAAAAAAAAACACAATCCACCTCTGTAACCATGGCAGCAGTCTCTTGAGTGGGTTTTCCCGCTATGCTGTAAATTATCTGGCTTGGTGAGCTTGTCCACTTGAAGAATCCTTCTGTAAGTGCTCCACAAAGCTTTCCGCGAGTAGAATGTATAATTTATTTGTACTTCTGACAAGGTAGAAAACCAGCTTTTCCTAAAGAATGGTATGTCTGTGCTCTCCTCCCCACCCCAGCTTTCCCTTTGTAGAGTTATAGTCGTTAGGTCCGTCACCGTTTCCTAATGTAAATATTAGTGTAAGGTAAATATGTAAATATGTGTGCATGTAAATATTAGTGTAGGGTTTTTGCTTCTTCAGTTGATGCCTCCAGGGGCTGTTTCGAGCTTATAAGGGAAAAGCAGGATGCAAAAAATGTAGATCATAAAATAAAATAAAATGGGCAGTGGCTGTGCCAGCAGCGGATAGAGAGAGAAGTTTTCATCTGGAGGACCTCAAGGTGGGAAAGACTGTTTCAGGGCTATCACAGCTTTGAAATTTCGTGTGAGTAGAGATGAGTCTGAATCTGTGGTTCTTGCTGGTTCATTTCTTAACCAAACGGGTCTGGTGCTTCCCAGCTCCGCCTCCTCCAGCGGGTGCCCAATCTGATTGGGTGCCCACCGGAGGAGGCGGGGCTGAGAAGCGCCATACACCAGTTTGGGGAAAAAAAGAATCAGCACGAACCACCAGTACGTACGGTAGTTCATGCCCCTCTCTACCTGTGAGACAGAGTATTATGGCAGCAAGCAGGCGTAGAGAACATACAGTACCAGTGTGACACTGTACATGCCCAGTGTTTTGTTTGATTTGAGTATTGCGAAAGAACTCTGGGAAAGACAGAGGTCAGTGTGTGGCTGTTCAGACTGTGTTTAGCTTGTCTACTGTATTTTTATACTTCTGTATTTTTATACTACCTCCTTCCTTTAGGAGCAGCCCTGGAGTGCGAGCACAAAATAACCTTTTTATGATTCATCTCCATTTTTTTCCTCTCTTTTAGACCATAGTAGCCATCAACAAGGACCCAGAAGCCCCTATATTCCAAGTTGCCGATTATGGACTGGTAGCAGACTTGTTTAAAGTAAGTCTTGCCATTGGGTGGACTTGATCGTCACCCATTCCTGAAGGTTTGGAGGTTCAATTGTACTAGGACCTAGGCTTGGTGGTACCCAGTAGCACACACACACATGTATGGGCCAGCAAATCTTCTTAAGTAATGTAGCCTGTGGAGCGGGTGCTAGCCTGTGTCATGTGCTTGTTTCTCTGGGTTTTTTTTAATGAGTCATAGAAATCCCAGTGTAGAGAATGGAGTGACAGAGTAGGACTCAGGAGGTCCTGAGTTCAAATCCCTGCTCAGCCACAGAAACTCCCTTTGGGGTGGGTGGGGGATGTGACACTGTTAAACTCTTCCTTAGATGTCTCATTCCCCTTGAAAGCCCTGCTTGTAAGGCAGTTCCAACTTCATGGCCCATAAAACACAAACACTGAAATCCCTGGTGCGGTGGAGTACTTGAGGACCATAGTCATCTAGTTTAATAAAGCATTTAGTTAGCTTCTGCTGCTGTTGTCTAGGTGGCCTCTTTCAGAAGGTTAGCATTTCTCTTTCTGCCCAGCCCTTTGGGATGGTGTGGATTTGGTACCCACATATGGTACTTGATATCTAACAACATCTCTTTCTTAATCGTCATCTTAGAAATTTAGAGCTGGAAGGGATCCTATAGATCATCAAGTGCAGCCCCTGTCAAGGAGGCACAAGAGGGGAATTGAACTCCCCAGCCTTTGGTTCTGCAGACACATGCCTAAGCCACTGAGCTATCTAGCAGTTCTTAATAGTTATTACGAACAATATATTTCACTTCATTTATTATTTAGGCAAGATTTGCCCAGAGTTAAATTTTAACTGAAGTTTTGTGAAGTATAAAGAGTTGTAAAATGTGCCTTGACCAGAATGGGGTAGGCCTTCTTAACTCTGATGGGACTCTGCTGCTAGATGTATCAGTGCTGGTCATATTTTTGAGCTGGGTGTGGGAATAGACCACCCTCTCCTGCAGGCTGCATGGCAGTAAGAATCATCCTCCGTTTCTCTTTTGCCTCACCCCTCCGCTTGGCCAAGGACAGAGGGAGAGTCTGTTCTCTCTCCCAACACCCACACCCCAGTGGAAATGGGATAGGAAAGGTTAAGAACTGTATGAGAATCCAGGAGCATGACGTTTAAGGCTTATGCCTTGTCTGTCAGGTGCCACGGTGTCAGTATGGTCAGCTTGAAGAGGCACAAGGCCTGTGCCAGTCTTCTCACCGGGCAGGAGACAGGAAAACTTTTTTATCTTTAAAAGAGCCGTTGATCCACAGGTGGTCTGCGGGGATCTGCACCTGACTGTGGGCAGGGTCTGAGCCCAAAGGGAGTGGGCTTGGCATCATTGCAAGTCTGCAGGACGTTCTTTCCCTCTCTGTGCCCCACTCCAAATAACATTATGTTGAGGACTGCGGTTCTTCTAATCCTTGACCAACTTTGGGGTTCTGAATTTTGCACTTTTAAAGCAAAAAAAAGAGAGCATGTTATTGGGGGTGCCACAAAAAAAAAAAAAAAAAAAAAAGCATGTTATTGGGGGTGCCGCCATTATGGTCTGGCAGATGCAGTTGGTCATTGTTTTACCTGAATCTGTGTAGTGTATTTTCCAGCTGCTTCTCATATTATTGATAAATTCAGAGATACTAAAATGGGATTGGCAAGTGATGGCAGGGGCAGGGCAGAAATATCTTAAGTTGCTTGTGTGTGTGCATGCATGGTAGCCATTTCTGCTTAGTAGACAGTTCCACCATGCTTCAGAGGTTAGCCATTCACTGTTGAACTATGTACTTTGTACTTCCCCAATGCTTCTGTTATGTCAGGAATGGCGAACCAAGAAATCTTTATCTAAATCAAGTGTGTTGTTTCTGTGAGATGGCTTCCTGCCAAGTCTTGGCTGCTGATTGCTAGAAGCTATTTAAAGAAAGCAAAATGCTTGCTTGAAATAATGGATGTGTGAGGGGCGAGGTAGCCCTGCTTGCTGCTGAATTTGGTGGGGTATGAGTAGAGGGGCACAGCTTGTCTGACCCCCCCCCACAGAACCCAAATTGCTCCCCCCCCCCGGGGCATAATAAAGATGCTTGTGCTGTCTATGGGATTCTGGGAGTTGGGGTATAAAAAAAACACGGTTTGCCATCTCTGATCAGAAGTGGGCTTCTGGCCACTTAATTATTCCTTTAAATAAAAACAAAATGCCTAGCAGTTGGAGTAAGAAGTTACTCTCAAGATCCTCAGCACCTGCCCACCTGCTGCTTCCAAGAGTTGCTTCACTTTTGTTATCAGCCAGGTACTCTTTAGTGCTTCCTAATTTGGAAGGGAGGAAGGAATGATCCTCTGACCGCTGGGGCAGAAACAGATGATCATGCCTTTTAGAGTAGTACTGATTTCCCAGCTCTGGAGGGACATCTGGCTTGGGTTAATCCAGTGGAGCCAGGATGATTTCAGCAGAGGTGAACCCTCTCTCAGATGGCATTGAAAACCCCCGGGAGTGTCCATGGAAGCTGTGTATTCATTTATCTTAAGCCTAAAGGGAGGTAGGAGGTTGGTGTTGTGTACACCCACTTAATGTTAGGTTTCAGTGGATTGTGTCCAAAGTTGTTTGACTTGTGTGTTTACAGATCCCTCTCCTGAATCTTGTCAGTAGGCTTTTCTTCCTTGACCTTCTTGGAAGGGTGAATTGGCTTTCAACAAAATGGAGGAGCTGGGCTTGTTAACAGTCTTGCTGTTTGAACACCCCAAACTCCCCAGAACTATGATTCTTAATCAGTAGCTCATTCCACTCTCTACCAACTTGTACTTTACGGCTGCCATGGGGGGGGGGCGGAGGGATGGCCCCACCTGTCCAATATTATAAATGGCTAGAGCTGGGATATCTGAAAGTCTGCCTCCTCCAATAGGTTCCTTCCTGGAGTTTAAGATCCTCAGTGGGGAGCCCTATTGTGTGTGAGATCAGATTGGCGAGTAGACATGAATGAGCTTTCTTAGTAGCAGCCCCTCAAATACAGAGATCCCTCTTTGTAGGCCTTCCAATAGACAGCCAGAACTATTGTTCTGAGTGGCATTTAGTCCCTAGCATTCTTTTTCCAAAACTGGCTTTTAGAGCATGTTTGGGTGTGCTTTTAGAGACTATAATAGCTTTGTACTGTAAATGTACTGTGAATATGTGTGTGTGTGTGTGTGAGAGAGAACAAACCTTTTAATTTACTGGAAATCTCTGTGGGATCCCTGCTGGGTAGACGGGTAGGAAATCCATTGATGGCTCCTAGTTGCAGCATTTCACATTTCAAATAAAATTATTGGGAGAAGTCGGCTTTGAAGCGGGGATCATGAAATACTGATTGTTTATCAAAGGAAGCCAAGGCTTTAAAAAAAACATCTTAATAGGACCTTGCGTTGGAAATCTGATTTCACACCAGATTGAAATTCTGTGCTTGGAAGCGGGTAGCAGTGCTGCCAAAGATATTTCCGTTTTTATTCTCTCTGTGTCTCCTTCCACCCATCCCAGTTTAATTCTCCTAGACCTTTGGGGCTCCGTTGGCATGTACTCTCCATGCCTGGCATGAGTGCCCGGTCTCTCCATGGGGGAGAAGTGACAGAAACTCTGCCAGCACTTAATGCCATTCCTGAACTAATGCCTGCTGGCTTTGCAGTAAACACGGGCCTTTTAATAAGCTGGAGACAAAGTGACATTCGGAAGAAACAACATGTAGACAATTTCCTTAATAAATTTTGTACGACTGCATTATTTCCACCTAATGGAAATGTAGATCTCTTAAATAATTGAGAGGCTATATTCACCCGCCGTGAGTACAGCTGGGATCTCTCCGAGCGAGGGCATTCTCCAGCCAGCCCCCGGAAGGATAAAGTAACTGATATTTTACGCCACTGGTTTGTGTAGGGTTTCAGGTGTAGTTGGCTGGCTAATCAACCACCTGCTTTCACGCATAGCTGCTCTTCTGAGGTCTAGTAAGAATCAGTGTGCAGCGTCGTCGGAGCTCAGTTAAGTGGGAGATCCCCAGCAAGGTGCCAAGGCGGGCGTTGGTGCCACATCCTCGCCAATTGCTCATGGAGTGGAATGGGTTCATCCTTGCCCTGGTTTGCACTTCAAGCAGTCCCTTTTTGAGATCTCTGTTGGGTTAACTTGCTTCTCAAAACCAGAGGGAAGAGAGTCAGAATGCTTGTCTGCCAAGAATAGGATCAGATAATTTTTACAAATATGGAAGGAAAAAAGTTTGCTGTGATTAAAGACTTCAGCAAGGGGTCCCTCTGAATTAAATCCTTGTTGTTAGCACCTGTTGAGTCATGTGTTCCTGGTTTTAATCCAGGAGTCATGTTAGGGGAAGGGGCTGTAGTTCAGCGATAGAGTAAATATTTTGCACACAGACCTTAGAAAGTTCTCAGCAGGTGATCGGAAGGCCTCTTCCTAAGACCTCGGAGTTCCAGCTAACGTAGAGCGTACGAGGCCATGTATAATTAGAGCTGTTCTGTGTACACACACACACACACACACACAGAAGAAAACAGGAAAATATAATCTGTTTTCTTCGCTCCATAAGACGCACAGACTTTCCACCCCCTGTTTTGTGGGGGAAAAGTGTGTCTTATGGTGCGAAAAATACGGTAAATATTTTGCACACAGACCTTATAAAGTTCTCAGATAGCAGGTGATCGGAAGGCCTCTTCCTAAGACCTCGGAGTTCCAGCTGACATAGAGCGTACGAGGCCATGTATAATTAGAGCTGTTTGGTGTACACACACACACACGATGTGGTGGGAGTAAAATTAGATGGGATGGGATTTTGAATTGATTTTCAAAATTGGTTTCCACTTTTAATTAGTTTGCTCACTGGAATAGTAATACTTGTTCAACAATCTTGATTTTTTTTTTTTAAGTAACAGAAACCAGCAGGTATAGGTCTTTTGAAATCTAGATTGTTTCTTTACCAAAGAGCTAAGAAGGGAGAAAAAAGTGTGTTGTGTAAACTCATTTATCTTTGGAATTAATATCATTTTTGGATGTGTATTGTCAGTTCATTTTTTCCTAAGTTTATCTTGAATGTTTAAATTTTATGGTGTGTTTTAGCATTAACACTTACACTGCTTGTCAAGATCTAGTAACACTATTCCGGTGTAACTGGTTCTTTGCAGATGTATATTTAGCTGATATTCCTTTTTCTTCTCCTTCCAGGTTGTTCCCGAGTTGACAGCTGCGCTGAAAAAATAAAATCGTCAAGGGCTTCGGCTAAACTGGATGTAACTTCGGTTTTGAGAGAAATAATTTCTAAAACCAAAATATAAATTATATTTCATCGAACTAAAAATATAATACCCAGCTAATTATTGCCAAAAGCATATTCTAGATGACCTTTAAATGCCTTGTAATATACCCACTTTCTGCCTTTTCAGCTCTCATGTAGCTGCAAATTACTTCTTAAATGTTTTTCTAACTATGTAATAAAACCTACATAACATACTTGATTTTATATAAGCTACCTTTGTGATTTGATGTTAATCTACACCCCAAGGCAAGTGTGTGGACAACTTCCTAGCTCTTGAGGGAGATATTCTCTGCCTTCAGAACCTTCCACCAGCAAAGCTCAAATTTTCTTGGAAGACAAAGGATCAAGCAAAATGTTTCCAGGGGTTTAATTCTCGCTGCAAGATCCCAAGTTTTTGCATGCTTTTTTAAAAATTGCTATTGCACTGTCAAATGTTTGGCAGGGGGCTGTAGTCCACCTGTGCCCAAAAATATATTCATCTGTGCTTAGAAGACACCAAGCCATCCCCATCTGTCGGGTGGCTGGTTTAATTATTGTGTGCTACAGATAAATCCATCTGTGGCAAGATAATATACAGTGGTGCCTCGCATAGCGAGGTTAATCCGTTCCGGATTAACCATCGCTATGAGAAACATCGCTCAACGGAACAAAAAAACCCATTAAAACGTATTAAACTTGGCTAGCTCTTGAGGGAGATATTCTCTGCCTTCAGAACCTTCCACCAGCAAAGCTCAAATTTTCTTGGAAGACAAAGGATCAAGCAAAATGTTTCCAGGGTTTAATTCTTGCTGCAAGATCCCGAGTTTTTGCATGCTTTTTTTAAATTGCTATTGCACTGTCAAATTTTGGCAGGGCTCTGTAGTCCACCTGTGCCCAAAAATATATTCATCTGTGCTTAGAAGACACCAAGTCATCCCCATCTGTCGGGTGGCTGGTTTAATTATTGTGTGCTACAGATAAATCCATCTGTGGCAAGATAATATATACTCTTGTGTTTCTTTGAAAACAAAACCTGAGACAGCTCAAAAGCAGTTGGTTGTTTTATAGGCAGAGAATACAGAAAGGTTATAAAGTGACTTGGCTGTTAGATTTATGGACTTCGATAACCCAAGTTTAAAAAAAAAAGCTGGAGGGATTTTCCATGTTAAACTGGATAGAGAATGTTTGTTTTGGAATGGATTCCTCGCATATACTAAGTAATTTGGCATTAGAAATAATGATGTAGCACTCGGATCTCCAAACACCCAACAGGAATGTTTGTGCCTGACATGGTTCGATTCCTAATTAGCAGCTCGTAGTCCAAAGGGTTATGAAGCTTGTGGCCAGGGCTTGGCCTAAGGCATTTCACCCCACAGCACAGTAGGGTGGTCTGGCCTTGGTGGTATGTGTGTGTTTTATTTTCAGATAAATTGCCCCCCCCAGAAATTTTAATGTCTTACTATGATTTTTTTTAAAATTATAGATGTAATATTCTGATATTTGGCAGTTCCTTGTTTTATGGCTTTATGGGATGGGGACTAGAACTCTTGACAGCATACCTTTGCAAATGGTGTGAACTGAGATATTGATTGTTATGTCTGAATCTTAGGCCTGCAGACCTGGAAGGGACCCTGTCCGGGAGGCCCAGTGGGAGAATCAAACTCCCAATCTCTGGCTTCACTGCCAGATGACTCATCCCACTGAGCTGTCCAGTAGAGATGGGCACGAACTTCAGTTTGGAGGTTCGTGTTGGTTCTTTGGAGCAGCTTCACAGATGCCATGCATTCCCTCCCCCCCCCCCAATAACCGGCACCCCTACTCACCCGCTGGAGCACGCTGCTCTTCTCGTCCTTTTCCCATGTTTTTCCAGTCCCAGCAGGAGTGCGTGCTTTGGCTGCTGGAGGAGGTGAAGAAGGGGGAAGCACACGCTCTTGCTGTTAACGAAACGGCACAAATCTCCAAACTGAGGTTCCTGCCCATCTCCGCTATCCAGCAGTTATATTTCCTTAGTGTGCATTTTTTCTTTTTTCTTTAATGAAACTGTAGTTCTTAAGAGGTTTTTGTCTGTTACGCTTTTTTTTAATGATAAAACTTTGTTGCAAGCATAGGAACAAACTGCCCCCTCCTTTAAATGGTTAAAATGAGCCGTTTTCTGTGTTGTGCCTTTCGCAAACCGCCAGCCACTTTTAGCTGGGGCTAACAGGTCCACACCAACCGGCTCAGGGTCCTTGGGAAAGTTTCAGATGTAGATACACATAGTCCTCTTCATTTTCTTTCCTAGCAAGCCTGGCATTCACTATATATAACCCATCACTAAGTTTTAATTTTCCTTGTGCTCATCTCTCACTCTCTGTTATGAGCGGTGTCCTTCGTAATAGAGATAACAAATCCAGAAAAGCTGGTGTCTGCCACCCCTCCAGCAGACCTCATCTGATTGTGACATATTTAGACAGCCTGCGTCGTCATGCCGTACGCATGTGTTGGTTGCTTTAACCAGTTAAAGAAACCTCAGAGACAGCCTGTCTGTGGTGGTTAGGCTTAGAAAGATAAAGAAACCACACGGTTGGAAGAGACAAGGGGCAAAAGGCAAGCAAAGCTATCATGGCTGGGTTAAAAAACATCCTGGTGGGTTTGCATTTAAATATTCTGCAAAGCTGTATCTGCTTCTGACAAACTGAGCCATTGGGAACTGGGATAGGAATATTCCCCTGTAGGTTTGTAGGAGGCATTTAGTTACAGAAGGCTGTAGGTAAGCTATGAAAGGAATCGTTGATACAGCACCAGGGGAAGGCTTGCTGCCTGGAAAGCTAGCTAGTGTCCCTTCTTGTGCTCCCAGCCAGTTTAAATCTGTGGTCATTCTCGGCTGCTGTCAAAGACAAAATATTCTCTAACCTCCTCTGCAGGGCAGTGGAGCAGTACATCCACATATACTGTATAGGATTCATTCTAACTTGGTCACATCTCCTGTTCTTGCAGTAAATTTTGCTTTTATTTTGAATGGACTGTACTCTAGTATTTGTATATAGAAGAACAAAAATAGCCCTGAAGATACTGAAACGTTGACTTTAACCCTAGGTATGCCTATGAAGTTGCCTTCATTTTGCAAAGCTACAGAAACTGCTCTTCAAGGGCTTTGGCAATGGCCGGAATGAATAAGGTGATTGTTGTGGTAGATGATGGCTTCTCAACCCGTGTTATTACACAAAACTGTCAGTTTTTCTCTAACCAAGAGGGGAGGAGCTTCGCAGAAGTCGCTGAACGGGCTATGTACGAGACCTTCGTGTGGCTCTTTTTGTTTTCTTTTGAGGCATAGGTAAGCGTATACAAAAGAGAAAATGCTCCCAGCAGTCATCACCACCAAAGAGTTTTCTACACGAGTGAGACGCTTGACTCTCAACACAAGAATGAACCGTATCTGGCTTTCACATGGCATGAGGTGATGGCCTTTCTTGTATCTGTGGTCTGGCCACAAGCTATCACTGTGAAACTGGTGATGCAAATTTACAGCTTCTGCTTTCTGTATAATGATATAATACTCTTTTTAGAGAAAGAAAATAGAGCAAAGTAGACACTGTTGGTCCTGACTTCGCCTCAAGATGAGGAGAAATATCCAAGGCTGGCTGCAAACGTTTATGCACATCTTAGTACCAGAGTACCGTTTACTAGATGTTAAAACTTGAGAGTTGCTGAATGCATGATTCTTCGTAGTATTAGATGACTGTAAGGAGCTGCCTCAGAGAAAGGGCGCATCCCAACAGTACTAGTTAGTAGTATTTTAAACCCTGCTTGAGTTACAACAGGCATTTTCCGTACTATGACCAGCAACCAACACTTGGAGAGTGTCCAAAGGAGCAGACGTAGAGGACTTTGTCATATTTGAGCAACATTACTCTGTTTTCTTCTTGCTATCCGTCCTTCCCTGTTCTCAACCTATACTTCAACACTTCCCAACTCTAACACAGATTGTGACCAACAGTGAAGACCGTGTGCTAGTCCGAAATCTGCATGGTGAACATCTTTCATTTGGGGTTCTTTCGGAGGCGCCACTTTTGTTTTCCACGCACCAGTTCTTCTGTTTCATACCAAACAAAAAGCCTCTCTTTGGGGTTCCTCTGTTTTGGGTTTTCCATTTGTGTTTCTGGTGCATGGAAAGCCCTAAAAACCCCTTAAAAACTATTCCAAACAAGCAGAGGCAAGGCAACAGAGACTCAATCTAGTTCAAAATCCCCCCCCCCAGTATATACACCTTTACCAGAATAAATCAAGTAACAATTCAAAAATCAAAAAAAGAGAGAGAAAGCCCTCGCAGAAAGGGGAAAAATAGCAAAATAAAAACATCCACATAGGACCCCTCCCAAAAGCCAAGAAAAGCAAGCAAGCAAACAAAAACAATACAGTGAAATCTGCCACATCTAAAACCATCAAAATATGCAGTATTTCTCTCTCTCCTACCACTTGATGTCTTCTCTTCTCCTCTTCTTTGAGTTCAGCAAGTAGGCCAAGGCCCAGATAGCAGCGAACATGGGCCAAAAAAAAAAAAAAAAAAAAAAAGACCAGAAAAAGAAAATGGGGGAAAAAGATTCTCCAAAGAATCCTCCTTGCTTGGTTCCAGGTTCTTCCACAGATTCCAGATTCTCCCACCCCTAAACATTCTGATTAGTTACTGGCAGCATCATTCATCACACCTTGTCTTTGCAACAGGCCTCATGACACTGATTGGATGAAAAACTTATCAGGCTATTTGACATGCAAAGGGTGAAAGAAGGGTTACACGAAACAGGGAACATGAAAGAAACATGAAGCTTTTGGGTACCTATGTTTTGTTAATATGAATAGTTTATGTTTTAGAAGTTCTCTTTTGATCATCATCTGAAGAACAGGAACATCAAAAAAGAGCCTGTTTCGTGCATTTTTTCTTCCATGTAAACACACAAAAGGCCCATCTCTAGCTGAGGGGCCTGGAAAAGCACCATGTGTTTTAGCTGCTTTACTATTATGGGAACCTGTTGTGAAGCTTTAGGTAAGGCTGGGGGGGGGGAATCCTGCCAGAAATTATGGAGTGCTGCTGCCAGTCAGAGTTGTCAATGCTGGACTCGGGACCAACATTCTCACTCAATGTAAAGCCGCCTTTAGAGTTGCAAAGTGACTTGGAAAATCCACTCATGCAAGACCCATGGACATGGCAAGTCTAACCAAGCATGTAATCCTATAAATGTTTTTTTGGGAAGGGAGTCAACTAACGTATGGCGCAAACTGTACACTGACATTTAAGAACAATGTGGTAAGTCAATGCTGTTGCCTATCACCAGCTCTATTCCTAGAACAAAACTGAAAACAATATAGGTAGGATTTTCTCCTATTTTTTTTTAAAAAAATCTTTTTTAATTAAAACCATATTTGTAAAATGTCCATTTTCATTCTCTTGTCTTGGAGGCAACTTTTAATATATATTTTTTGTCAAAATATTTTCCCCCCAAAGTTCATGCTAAAAATAAGAAGAGATCATACTTTTAAATTTCTTTGATTTGCATCATTCAAAGTGCTCCTTGAAAAAATGTGGGTTGACCCCCCCCCTTTTCCCCAAGGAAGAACAAAAATAATTGCCATATTTATACAAAGGGGGGAGGCTATTGTTGTCATGTACAAAGGGGAATTATAAGAAATTGTAGGAGAGAAGTTTATATCTGTTTGGACTGTACCCTGCTGAAACCTGACCTGATAGAAGATTGTCCAGAGTTTCATAAAAATTGTGGGATCTCTGTATACTTTTTTTTTTAAGAAAAAGAACATATTAAGAATCTATACATATCTGAGGTCATTGTTTTAACAGAGTGGTTCCCACAGCCCCATCTCTTCCTTAGGTGGGGTAGGGGAGGTGAAGCCTGAGGACTTCAAATAGTAGCAATTGTCAAGTTTTTCGTGCTGGCTCTCCCAACTCATGCATTTTTTTTAAAAAAATGGATTTTCATTTCATTCTGATTCCAACAACATGTCCGTTCATGGATGGTTCCAAGGGCCCCATTTAAAGCTCTAGAACATCTCCCCTCTCTGAAGCATATTTTTAAATTTTATTTTAACCCCACCCACCCCTTCCCCATGGCAGGAAAAGGACTACGAATCTGGGACCCTGTTTAATTTTTGATCTTTGGATTCCAAAGATGTATACTTGTCGATCATGGATGCATTCTGCTGGTAGTGGATGACTGGCTTGATCTGAAACACGCCAAAGGTTTCTTGGTTCTTCTTGTTATAAATATTTACTCGATGCTCCAGTTCAGGGCTAGCTTTGGTAGACCCTGCTGGGCTCGGCAGTTTCAGGTTGACCGGGTTCAGTCCTTTTTCTGTCAAGCAGGAGTCTTCAGATAAAGAGGAGAGCAGTTCTTGCACCACCGCGTTGTTGACCCTGGCGTGGGCGGAAGAAGGATCGCCCTGCTCCCGTTGGGATACATGGCAGGGCCTCTCCAAGGGGCAATACTCCGAGGACTCCTCCCGGGTGGTGCTGCAGTCCGTGGAAGAGCCGAAGGTTTGGCTGCTGTCGCTCTGGGCCCGGGTGACGGAGCTGTCTGTGGATCGGGAGGCACTGCCTGAGGCGACGCTGGTGGACATCCCGTTGCTCCCCATGATCTTCATTGGCACTTCCACGGTGAAGAGGTCTGAGGAGATGTTGGGCTGGTGGACGTCAATGGCTGCTGTGGTGATGACGCAGATGGCACCTTCGGGAACGCCACTGTCTGCAGGCAAAAGGTAGAAGGCATAAGAGGCCACAGGACCCTCGTCCCAGAAATGCGGCAAGATCTCCCTCCCAGAGGTTGACAGGCTGTTCGAGCAGTCCGGGAGAAGCTTTCTTTGGAAACTAAACCCTGCTTTCAAGATCAATTCCTCTTAAGCCAGGGAGAGAAACCTGTGGTCATTTAGATACAACTCCCATCAGCCCCAGCTAGCAGGATACAAGGTAGGAGGTGGTGAAAGTTGTAGCTGAACAACATCTGGAGGGACCACCGTTTCCCTACCCACGCCTTACGCAGTGTGTGTAGTAAAATGAAATATGAACGTGGCCCCTTGACATTAAACAAGCTATGAACTTAAATCCTTATGGAAAGTGGTGACAGCAGTTTTCCCCGCGAGGTTCTGTGTGAGACATAAATTTCAATGGGATTTACTCCTTCATAACTACTATGGTAATCTGGGATTTTTCGGGTTATCAATTGCGGCCATCTGAGAATTTTAGCTTCCTCTAAGCTTCTAGTTCTCTTGTGCCTGAAAACAACTATCAGATAATTAGACGACTAAACAGCCTCTAAGTGAAACAGCAATATTTACTGGCCTAAGGCTGGGATTTTCAATCCCCACCCCAGTATGTAGCCCAGTTCATAAACTCTCCACCAAAAAGTCAACATCTTGCCTCCTAGAATGAAACACCTTCATTTCCTTTTTCCTCTCTTAGCATCAGGCTCAGCTTTTCTCCGCCAGCCCTAAATCAACCCCCCAAATTTTTTTAAAAAATGAACCATAACATACCAAAGCAAGTAAAACTTAAAATATCACATGGCATGGTTCGTTCAGCATATTTTTTGTAGATGAGAAGAATGATCACATAGTGGGTGCATATTGGAATAAATCCAAAGACAGGTCACATATTACTGCCTCTACTACTAAGGTTTTACCCATGAATGCAAGCACAGGAGTAATTCCTGGATCAGCAAAATTACTGGAGTATGAGGGAAGCAGGATAAACAAGCTGACTCTCATTTACTTTTTTTCAGTCTATAGGGCTTGAAGGTTTTCAATCTAGAATTTAGATTGTTCCAGGTCTTCAATGCTTCAGTTCAGGACTGGCTTTGACAGACCCACAAATGATGAAAATGTGACATAATAATTAGTTGTGCTTTGCATCCAGAATATCCACCTTTGTGACACATATGTAGCTTTATGTATAAATATCATCTTAGAAGGTTCCTTCGCAAATGAAAAATGATGTTTTCCCAACCAAACTCTGTGCATTCCCTCCCCTTAAATTAGGTAATCTACTTTGCATAGATTTTCAGTGTACAGTGGACCCTCGACTTACGGAATTAATCCGCATTGGAACAGTGGCTGCAGGTCGAAAAGTCTGCAGGTCGAGGCTCCACTGACCTACAATGCATTGAAAACTGATTAATCCGTAGCCGGCCGTTTTTGTTCCATTTTGTTTTGTTTTTTCCGGTCTGTAGGTCAATTCTCCGGCTGCAAGTTGAACCTAAATTTTGCGGCCAGAGAAGTCTGTAACTCGAAAAGTCTGTAAGTGGAGCCGTCTGTAAGTCGAGGGTCCACTGTAGTATGTAGTAGACTCTAAATGTGTGTGTGTGTGGGAGGGGGACTGAGGTATAAGAGAAAGAGGAAAGGTGGGGGGAGAAACACAATTGGATTGTGACCCAGTGGCCGTTAATCTAACACTGGTCTCCCCTGGTGTTGAGTTATTTTATCCTTCACGCATTCAGGTTAACCCCTTTAAAAGGTTCCCAGCGTGAGGCCTTAAATTGTCTTATTGTCTCTTTCCCCCCACAGGGAGCTGGCTTTCCCCCATTTCCATTCGAGATGCCATGTTCTTAAACTAAACGATTCAGATCTCAAAGTGCAATTGAACCTTAAAATCATTCTGACTGACTTCATGGGGAGTCTTGCCCACACCCAGAAGTTTCTAGAGGCCCCCGCACAGAAATACTGAGAGGGAGACTGCTCGACTCCCAGTCATGGCCATGAATGGAAGGGAAGCTGGTATGAAATGGCACTTGGGTGGGCTTGTTGGGGTGCCTGGGTATGAAAGAGCACTATTCTCTATCCTCCATATCTTGACCCACCATATCACCTACCTATTCCCCACCCACAAATGATAAACACTGATGGTAATCAATAGGCAAGCCAACCGTTGAATTATCTTAAGAATGCTTTTGGTCTGCACCATTAATTTGCTTCCAATGAAAGGCTGGAAACCCTAGTAGGGTTCTTCAGGTATGTGAGTTATTCAAGGAACAGTTTACTAGCCCAGCCACCAGACAGACCCATAGGTTGCTGGGATCTAACTCCCACCACGTCTCACCATTAGCTCTGGTGGCTCTCCTTGGCCCTCTCCCCAACCCTCAGGATGTAAAGAAGTGTGAATCGTTCCATGGGGCCTGGCTGTAGAGAAGGAGATGGACCTTTACTGTGGCGCTCAGGACTAAGATTAGATGGCATTTTAAATTGTATCCCCAACTGCAGCATATCTTCCTTAGAGAGATTTGCCTCCTACCATCCTCACTGATCTTCTTTCGGCACCAGACAGGCCCCTGATGTTAATTCACTACAGTGGTGCCTCACTTTATGATTGCCCTGTTTAACAACGAAAACGCATTACGACAAACTTTTGCGATCGCTCTTGCGATTTCGCTGGAACGAATTAATGTCGTAATGCGAGGCACCACTGTATATGGTTTTCATGGCCTGGGTACACTTTGTCTTTTTTTAATCTTAATGTTCTGCTGTAGAGATGGGCATGAACTGCTACTTCCTTCAGTGGGCTGGTTGCACAGGCGTTTGGTGCTTCTCTGGGCCCACCGGAGGAGATGGGACAGGGAAACACCGAGCACCTGTTTGGCAGATAAATGGACCAACATGAATCACCAAACTGGCAGTTTGTGCCCATTTCTACCCTGCAATTATATTGTTTGAGTTCTTTTACCCCTGAGTTTGTTTTAGCTTTTTTCTTATTTGCCGCCTCCTTGGTCTGTTAAATTTCTGTTTTCTTTTTCTTTTTTTGTAAATTGCATTTTATTTTGATTGTATATTTGGAGTTATAGATCTTATTGTTTCAGTCTGCACTGTATACACTGCCCGCATTAGTAGTAGCACACATTCCTCCAGGCTGCAGGGTCATTTTTACACAAAATTTGTTTACCAATCACAATGCTGTACTTCATCTAGAACACTTGAATAACAATGACAGTGGTGGTGTATTTACAAATAATACTTTCCCTTTGCCCATCTTGGAAATTGTTCTAGTGAAAAAACTCCTTAAACTAGACAGACTCCTACTTTTAAAAATCAAGTGTCATTTATTTTAAACAGCAACAAAACCAAAATCCGTTTAAGTGTCCAAGATTATCTATGTTTCACTTTGGCTTTTTCTGTACCATTCTATGCAATGCCTCCATTAATAGCTGCAATTCTTTTTAAGTTTCAGAATACAAACTTACCACTACTGGGCTCATTGTAGTATTGGCTGATGTAGTTGTTCATATCATCTTTGACCATGGCTTCTAAAAATGCAAAACAGAAAACCACGAACAAGTTGGCTTCAGTAACAATTGTCCAAATGTCTGCTTGATTACTAGGTTTTCAACAAATGATTCAGCAAGACCAAAACCTGCACAGACCAAATATCTTACTTCGTGCAGTTTGGAGACAATGAAGCCTTTTTTTCATCATACATGTCTCAGGGATCTCATTGGCTTTACAAAAAAAAAAAAAAAAAAGGTGGTGTATGACTGGAAAGGATGTGGGACAAGTGGAAAACATGAAGCAACCAAAATGATCAAGGGGCCAAGTCTTAAGATTACAACATTGGGGTCCTCTTAATTTTGACATGATAAGAGGTGTGCAAAATTATGCATGTTGTGGAGGGGAAAAAAAGGGATAGGAGGTATTCACCCTCGCTCATAATACTAGAACCTGGAATCAATGGATAAATACAGACGGCCGGAAATTCAGGGTTGACCATTTATTCTTCACACAGTGAGTGCATGGTTAAACCTTGGGGTTTTCTATCCGAAGATGTGGTGATGACGGCAAAATTGAATGATTTTAAAATCTAATTAGACAAATACATGGAGGATTCCATCATGTGCCTACTAGACCGCTACACTTCATCTCTAACCCTGGAGGCAATGCAACTTGCATGCCAGTGACTTGGGAATGGGGGCAGGAGGAAACCATGGTCCTTATGATCTACTTGTGGGTCTCACCACCATGAGAGCAAGAACCTGGACCAAATAAGCCTCCCTTGATCCATCAGGCTTTTCTCTTGCAAGGCCACTCAACAGTCATAATAATCTATCTTTCTCCACCTCGTTGACAATTGCACAGACTCTTGTTCTGGAAGGATCCCAAACACTTTACAAGACAGAAACGCACGCGCGCTCCTCCACAAAGGCCAAACACTCTGCCTGTACTTCACAGTGCACCGGAAAGCAACGCCATGGCACTTTAAAAAAATAATAATGAAATAAGCAGTGTAACTTCGGCTGAAGTTACTGTTTTTTCCAGGGGAAGTACCCATTTTAGCGGGTACTAAAAGGTTCCAAAGCAAAAAAATGAAACAGGCCAAGCCGTTTCCGCATGATGCCGAAATGAAAGACATGACTGTTGGGTTATGAAAACTACCAATATCTTGTTTAGAAAGCGCACGCAGCAAGAACACCCAAGCTGGAAAGCAACCTGATCTGCCCACTTTGCGGCGTATCGCATGGCTTAAAAGCATCCTCTCCTTTTAAGCGTTCTTTTTGATACTGCGTTTCAGAGGTGGGGAGGGGGGGGAAAGAGAGTACAACCCTCGCCTCCATCCCTCCAAGCCAGATTCCCCACAGCCCCCTGGGTCTCTGTGGCTACAGCCTTGCCTTTTTCACAGCACATTGCGGTTTGCAGGTGAAAGAAACAGATGTTTTCTGTAGCACACTTTCTCCATACAACAAGACCCAAACCACTAAGCGCTCAGTACCTGAAATTGCTGTGCTCCTCAGATGGCAATCTAACCTGACACTGAAAGGGAACATGGCCGCCGTCCTGGTTTCATTGGCTGTTTAAAAGCTTTTTTGGCCTCTGCTGATCTTTAAATGCCTGCAGTCAGAGGTGTGCTTTCGGCTAATGTCTGAGTTTAAAAACAAGCCTCAGTGTCGCTCAAGGCAATACCACTGGATTAGGAGTACATTGCAATGCTTTTTCAGCTATCTGTTTGTTAAAATACACTTCGTTTCAGTCATCCATTATTGATACTATAAATGCCATGTAGTCATCATGGGTAGAGATGGTTAGGTAGACATGGCTACAGAAATGGCAGGGGGGGGGGAGTTGAGGGGCTGTGCATCAGCCGTCCAACGCCAAAGATGCTGCAGATCAAAGGAAGCGGTGGAATTTCGGAAGGGCTGCCTACTTGCATCACAAAACCTCACAACAATGACCTGTGGCCCGTACAAGAATCAAGCTGTTCAGAATGGAAAATTCGGAAAGGGTAAAGGGAAGCTCCCGAACAGGCTGGCTGACCAAATGTCACATGTTTGACTGAAAGACCTCTAAAATGAGGCCACAGTTGTACTCTATACGGTCAACGAGAACCACCTTCAAACGCTGACCAAATGTCACATGTTTGACTGAAAATGAGGCCACAGTTGTACCCTATACGGTCAACGAGAACCACCTTCAAATTTGTTACAGCTCTCATCAAAAGAATCCCCAGGCACGTAGGATCTGTGAAAAAATATTTCTTCACATCAGTATTAAAGGGCGGTTCTAAATATCATCTGGAGTAAACTCTAAGAGTTACATTGATTTAAAACGAAACCTAGCTAGGGAGTGAAAAACATTAGATTAAATGGGAAACCAAGGGCAATGTCAGGGACGGGAGCATTGAAAGCTACATAATCAGAGCCTGGCATTACATATACTGTACTTGTTTATAACGTCTTCTTGCAATAATATATAATGTCTTCATTCACGAAATGTAAGAAAGGCTCAAATGTAGCTGAACCACTTTTACCTTTTCAGATATTACCAATCTCACCAAGCAGAAATAATCTAAAATCAATCAGTGCCTTTGCCAAAACTGAATGTACATCTCAACACAATTCCAACTCAAGCCCTTGAACATTTTTCTGATTTGTAGTTAGGTGTCTATCTTGTCACCCAGAAAAGAAGACATAAACTGAAATTTTCTTGAGGAGAATAAAATGATGAAGAATAACAGCGTTTCCAGATCTAAGGATGACAAAATAATCAATCCCATTCTTGCTGACCACACAGAACGTAGTCACCTGATCATTGTCCTGTCTTTTGAAATCGCTCCCTCTGCTTCTTTATCATACACTTTACTGGCTGAATTGGCAAACTAATATTAAAAAAATCTGCACAGCCATCACCTATGCAGGAGACTATTCTATATAGATCCATGATCCTGTCTTTTTAAAAGGTACAGTTTACGGTTAAGAGCGTCTGTGTTTTTTCCAGCTTGCTAACAACAACCCTTTAAAACAAAACTTTCCATTGCCCCTGTTGAATTCTTCTTGCCAGGACTGAATTTCCAAGACAAGGGTATGATTCTTTCTTTACAGCAAAAATTGTCAGAGACTATAACTTGTTCAGGTTTCCAGTAAACGTAAAAGCTCCAGTGCCAGCACTGCCCATTACTTAGAATTATTAACCAGTACTAGCAAAACGCCAAATCCTTGTTGCTTTAAGAACACAGAAAATGCTCAAATAGTCAGACCACTGTTCTAATGGCCTCAGCATTTTCTAAACCAGTCTTCCCCAAGCTGATCCCCTTCAGATGTTGGCTAGGGCATTATGGAAGCTGTAGCACATATTTATACAGTATTGGGGATCAAAATGCACCCCTTAATGAAAACTCATTCCATAGTCTGGCTGCTCTCTCTCTCTCCACTTCCTACCAAATGTCTATTCTTGAATCAAGTCATAAAAGCTGTCGTTCTGGAAATGGTAGCCGTGTCAGCCTGTGTAAATGTATCAAGCAAATAAAATAAATAAATAATTTTTTAAAAAAACCTTCGTCAGATATGCCTGTCATAAAAGCTGAGGTTTCTTCCTAAGTCTGGAGATGCCAGGGATCAAACCTGTGAATTCTTGCATCCAGTAAACATCCTTTATCACTGGGTTTCCTCCAACTGATAGAAGTGGGATAACCTATGCACCTGGCATATGTAGTTCCCTTTTCCTCACAGAGATTAGACTTTTAAAAATGTGTGTTAGACGTTAACAAGATACACAAAAAGAGGAAATCCTTGACCGTTGGTAGAAAGAGCTTTTTAAGTAGTAGTATAGTAATCTCAAAAAATCTAATCCACTTTTTGGTTAATATTGAAAGGCAAAAAATTTGGACATGAGAATGAGGTCACCTGTTGACATTAACATTAGAAATCACATCTGGCAGAGAAAACAAAAGCCTGATGCTTTTGTTATCACCACTGCCCCCAAGTGGCACATTTTGTTGTTGGCTTCTTTAAAAGTGGTTTTTTTGGGAGTTTCGGTTATCTTGCCTGGCTCTGTCCAGATCCTAGACTTTGCTTCCTGATAGGAGATGATGGGATTTGCAGTCTAACATATTGGAGTCGTGATGGTTCCAAAGAGGCATTTTACTCATCTTTCAAACATTGAGAATTATTTAAAAGAAATTGCCATAAACACTTGAAAAATGCCTCTAAATAAAGGTATGCATGTCCTTAACTTTAAAAGGACTACATAACCTGATATACTCCACCCCAAAGGAATACTGGCATTCTCATCATGTGGCTTTTGAAATGTAATGCCATTACATTCTCTTTAAAACCTTGTTTTGATTCATTACTTCTCACATCTAAGATGGATATTTGTACACAAGTAAAGCTACTGTAGCCACTAAAGTAAATAATTCTCTTTGTCCCATTACTAAATAAAGTATTTTACAACTCACTGTTAATACAACAGACTCAGCAATGTATAAAGGCAAGGCTTACAAGACTCAGTCGGTTACTTGATCTATAGTTCAACTAAATAAGGTGCCCTGTTATTTGGGCAGTATTTCTAAACATCTATTTTTGGTACCTGTCACACTTACTCCCAACCTTTGTATAAAAACACTCAGATGACAAACTAACTCAAATAATTAAGGCTTCTTTAATAACTCAGTGAAAAAGCAAAGCAAAGTGTGCTGCTTACATACTGCCCCATAGTGCTTAAAGCTCTCTCTGCCAGTCTACAATTTAATTATGGGGGCTACACATCCCTTCCCCCCCCCCACACACACAGAGCTTGGGTACTCAATTTGTCAATCTCAGAAGGGATGGAAGGCTGAGCAATCTTGAGCCAACTACCTGAGCCTGTCAGGATTGAACTCATCTCATAAGCAGTACCGCAGTTTAACCACAAGGCTCCTTAGCAAGGAGTTAACAGGTGCTATTGTGAAATAAATGATTATTCTGCCTCCTCTTTTTCCTCTTCTATTGATTAATGTTTTTATAGTATCTCTAGTATGATGGACTAATCTTCCAATGTA